TTTGGAAACGATCCAACGGTTAGAACTTATCGAACCCGAATAACGCACAATATGCGAAATCCGTTCGATAGTCAAACGACATCCAAATTGAGATCCGTAAAATCCTATGCACTCGTGACAACCTAATGATCTCATCAGGATAAAAAGCAACTTCAACAGCCTTGCCCACGCGCCGCCACACGCGCCGGCAGCGCGTGGGTGTGTAGAGAAATTTCCGGCGACGGAAAATCTCCACACCAACGCTCACCCTTCCTACCCTAGCTTCTTCTCAAGGTCAGGATCACTTTATTCAACTACCACGAGGTCCAATTCGCACGGGAACTGGCCAAAATTTCAAATTGAAAACCGGCCAAAACCTAGGTTTCCAATTCGGTTCCAAAACTCAAAATCGATCCAAACCTACCCCAAAAACAGCTAGAGCATACGGAGAGGGTTCGAAAACATACCAAACTCGATGGAAAAACCGGCCGGAATCGCTGTGTTGTCGAGGTGAAAACCGAGAGAAAAACCAGTCGAACCCGTCGGCTGGAATCGGGTTTTCCGGTCGGGATAACAGGTGGGTTTTGATCGGGACTTCACGACGAGGCGAACGGGATCGATCTCGAGGACGGTCGTGGACTGTGGCGGCGGCGGCACGGTGGTTTCCGTTCGGTTTGCACAGTGACGGGGGAGAGGGAAACTATCGCACGCAGAGGGAGGAGACGCGGGAGAGAGAGAGAAAGTGAGGGGTAAATGTGAAAAATCTAATTTTACCCCAAACTCTTTTCAAATTAATTACGGTTCCGCCACCCAGCTTATTTTGATCGCCAAAACTTCATTAAATCTTCGATTCAAGCCTACCGCCTGTCTACGGTTTCGTCTCAGTACCACCTACGCAACCAAACCACTCGTGGTCCCAAAATCCTTCCGGATAAGAAAATGACCAAAATTACCCTTAACCCAAGAGTAAATTAATAATTCTCTTAATTTAATTAAAATAGGAATAAATTTGGAGTCGGGGTGTTACAGGGTGACTTCATCCTAATTGCTTATGCGAAATTCACGCATCAGTAATGCACATTCTCATTCCTAAATTGTGAGGATTATATTGATGATTTGGGAATCAATTTTGATGCATTAAATCAAGTGGCATTGTCAAACAAGTGGGTTCTTTCTCGAGCTACAACTCTCAAGCAATCATATTTTGATCTCTTTCTTACGCTTGGATTGGCCACTTGGGATGCTCAGAATAGTAAAATAAGTTAGCAAAAGGACGTTACCCCTGCTATTGTTTGTCATGGAGTTGTGCAATTAAAAAAATTTATGCGAACGAACTCAATAGATAGAGGTGCTGCTCTCCACCATTTGAAGACATAATTGTGGAACAAAACTGCATTTGATAGTCTCAAAATCAATATGGATGGGGTTCGAAAGTCAGGTGGCACAGAAAGGGGAGTAGAGATAGTGGTTCACAATTCAGATGGGCATTTTGTGGCAGGTTGAACAATACACTATGATCATGTTTTTCCGGCCCTTTAGGTGAAGGCAATGGCATCCAGGCCTGATGCGGCTTTGGTGGTGGAAAAAGGCTTAAGTTACACAATTTTAGAGTGATCCTCTTCAAATCGTCTCAACTCTTAAGAGTCCCTTCATTGATATGTCCTTTGTTGGTCTTGTGATGAACGACCCAAGAGCTTGCTATCACAAATCACTTGAGAAGTTTTTACCCATATCTGCTCGACTGCAAACAGAGTGGGTCATGGTATTGCACTTTTTTCTCTTCTTCAGGTGGTGGCAGTAGGGTTTAGTGTTGCTTTAGGGTTTTTGTTATTTTGGGTTAGTGAACTTTATTTGAGATTATGCTTAATTGTAGTGATACGGGATAGTAGTTGTTGTTATGTTTGCTTTAGTTCGGCTTCTTTAGCATGTTAATTTTGTTGCATTCTCTCGCTTGGTGATTTACATGTCTTGTTGATGCTTTAATTGTATCATTGAAGTTATCTAATGAAGTTCTGAATTTTTATTAAAAAAGAAAAAGAAAAGATTGAAGTTCTTATTTGATAGAAGTTTTAAAAAAAATGAAAATTTTGAATTTTAGTGACCAAGTGTGCTATATATATATTTTTTCCTTTATCATTGTAGGTATTCATGCGTATTCGTATGCAAGGTTTGCACGTAAGTGATCTCTCTTCTAAAGTTTCTTCTTTCTATAATGTTTTAATGAGTTACTAGTGTCTTGGTACCAAGGTCTAAAATATCGATGATATCGGAAATATCGGTAGTCCAAAAACATAGAAATTTCAATGGAAATATTAGGATATTATCGATATCGATAAAAATTGAATAAAACCCATGGAAATTGTAAGAAAAACTTATAAATTTTTATTGAAACTTTGGAAAATGTTTATTTAGTCAATTATCTATTAGTTTGTCACAAAAAATTAGAAGAAAATGCATTGCATGATGGATTTAACTGATTTAAGTTGATTATATAGCAAACTGGAAAACACTGTGAGTGCAGAAAATATGTAGTAATTAATGAAAAAAGATTAAACACACCACAATCATTTATATATAATGATTTACTACAATATTTTATACTTCATACATTGCATGGTAAGATACATGAGTGACTTAGTACCACATACAGTTCTTATGAGGTTCAAATTTTTCACTATCTTCATCATCTCTATGTGTAGAGTAAGTGTATTGTGAAGAGTAGTCATCAAATGATAAATCCCCAAAATAGTTTTGTATGTAATTGTTAACATGCCACCCATATCAATATAAATATTTTAGCATATTATCACAAAAACATAAGTGATATGGTGATTAAGGTGTCGAAATGAGTAAAATGGGAGAGGTTTAAGTCCCCTTTGTGTGTTTTTTTTTCTCCCTTTTTTTCCCTTTTTTTTCCTTCTTTTTCCTTTTTTTTCCCCTTTACATCGATATTTTTGATATTTTTGCGATATTACACCAATATTTTGACAAAATATTGCTGAAGTGTGAGCGAAATTATCAACATCGATATTTTCCGATATTATCGTCGATATTGTATTATGATATGTATATGGATATGTTCTGAAATATCCGTGGTTCGAAAAAACCGAAATATCCTCAATATTTCGTCGATATTATCGATATTTCAGACTATGCTTGGTACACACTCTTTCTTTTAATCTTTATGTGTATTATATTTGTAGTTTTAATTATTTAAACAAACGAAAAAACAACAAAGGCTGAGAGATGGAGGTAAATGTCACATCCTGAGTGGGTTTTGTGTTTTATATTTTTAGTTTGACTTAAATGATAAGCATTTTACCATTTTACCATTATAATATTAAATTATTAAGGATATTTTTTGCTTTTTCAATATTTTACCATTTGAGGCCTTTGCCTTTATATATAGATTCACATTAACACCCTCTTAGGGTTTGAGTTTTTGCACAAACCCCAAGGTTTCAAAATGTTTTGACAAAACCCCTTGTTTTAATTTTTTCATACAAAATCTTTATATAAAAAATTCATACAAAAATTTGAGTGCACATAATTTTTTCATTTCAGGGTAATTAACTCCTTGAGGTTAATTAATTTTTAATTTGAAGAATCTTTTTAATTATATCAATAATTTTGTATGAAAAATTAATGGAATGTGTGAGAATGTGAAGGTAAAAAGTTCCACATTGAAAAGTTGAGAAACCTAGCAAGGGCCTATATGGAGTTGGGCTACTCTCCCCATTGTCAATTGGTTTTGAGTTAGAACCTCAACTTCCTTCATAAGGAGTTTTGTGAAAATAATTTGAAACATCAGGGAGTGCCAATGTAATTTCCCAACCCTTAAGGGGTGCCAGTGTAATAACTCAATGCAAAATGTAATTGACCTATTATCATGAGTTGAAATAAAAAGACACATCGCTCACCGCAAAAGAACTGAGAAAGAATGAGGAAAGCAAAATTGCGGATTAAATTTCTAATTTCGGACTGGGGTTCGTTCAGTGTGGCAGCCAAGTAATTAGTACTGCAAGTATGATTTTGCTATTCTGATATAAACCACCTCAAATGGTCAAGCATTGTTCATTTCAGAGCAAGCTGACAAACTAATTAACAAAGTAAAAGCCAGGCCAACGGGTAGTCTGTGTGAAGTTGATCATCTTACTATATTTGGGCTTTGCACTTCTCAAACGTCCTCAGGTCTCTTGATACTGTCCACTTTTATTGTATTTTTTGCAGGAGGTAGATTGATAATTTGCACTTTTATTGACATAGGTAAGGGCATATAGGCATATATCCGGTGTGCCTTTTCAATCTGTGGATATAAAGCACCAAAAAAACGTTTATTTACTCATGATTAATTGGTAATGTTACTGCGCAGGACTTATTATTTTGAAATTTAAGTTTGGGGCTCCATTTGTGATTTGGCACCAGATCTATAAATGGCGGAGAAGGAAATTGTCAATGCATAGCATCATAGAAGATTTTCTGCAGGCTGATAACAACTTCATCCCAATAAGGTACTCTTACTCAGACATTAAGAAGATGACTGGTAGATTCAAGAACAAACTGGGTGAAGGTGGCTTTGGCACTGTATTTAAAGGAAAATTGCGCAGTGGTCGTTTTGGAGCAATTAAGATTTTGGGGCAAGTCTAAAGCTAATGGGAAAGATTTCATAAGCGAGAGGTAGCTACAATTGGGAGGATTCACCATGTTAATGTGGTGCAACTTGTTGGTTATTGTGTGGAGGGATCAAAGCGCTCTCTAGTCAACGATTTCATGCTCAATGGTTCGCTTGACAAATATATTTATTCAAAAGAAGGAAGTATGCCTTTAAGTTGCGATAAAATGTATGCGATTTCTATTGGAGTGGCTCAAGGGATTGAATATCTGCATGAAGGTTGTGATATGCTAATTCTGCATTTCGATATCAAGCCTCACAACATTCTTCTTGACGAGAATTTCAACCCAAAGATTTCTGACTTTTGGGGCTAGAAAAACTATATCCAACAGATAACAGCGTTGTCTCTATGACGGCAGCTAGGGGAACAATGGGATATATGGCTCCTGAGTTGTTCTACAAAAATCTTGGAGGCGTTTCGTACAAAGCCAATGTCTACAGTTTTGGAATGTTGTTGATGGAGATGGCAAGCAGAAGGAAGAACTTGAATGCCTTGGCAGAGCATTCAAGCCAAATTTACTTCCCTTCTTGGCTGTTCGATCAATATACCAAGGGCTTTACTTGGAGATGGGTGATGTCAATGAAGATGAAATGAAAATAATTAGAAAGATGGTCATAAGAGCCATATGGTATATACAATTGAAACCAAGTGATCGTCCATCAATGAAAAAAGTCATGGAGATGCTTGAAGGGCTTGTTGAATACCTATAATGCCTCCCAATCCCAAGCCTTTTATGTGTCCACAACAGACGCCGATAAGCGATCATCAAAATATTCCAAATCTGGCATGTTCTAACTTGGAGCTAACATGGACCTTTTCAGTTAGGTCATGATCAAGCATGGTTTTTTTTTTTTTTTTTTTTTTTTTTTTTTTTTTTTTTTTTTTTGAAACCCTAGACTCTGTTAACTAGCTTGGTGATGATCAACTACTATGGAATCTGCCGTTTTGAACAAAAAAGAAACAGAGCGTTTCACATATGTAGACCACAGTTTTAATAGACTTGTTTCATACAAAGCCCAAAATGGTGTTCAGAGTGTCAGAGTAATGAGGTAAAACTTTTTGTTTTCCAAGTTTGAAGAGAGATGAATCAGTGTGTGCACGCCCAAACCAGAATGATGTGAGCCATTTTAAAATTTACCTTCACCAGTTGCTTCTGTTTTTCATCAAAGACTCTCCGACGGTCAACTCAATTGAAATTGTGCCTATTAATTGACCTTCCTGATGAAATCTTTCTAAGGAAGAGGCCAAAGGTCATGGAAGCTAGAGAACTGCAAAACGAGGAATCAAAAACAAAGTTCAATCTTTCCCCCTATTTCATTATAATAAATAAATAAAAAGTTCAATGGTTGTCTTTCTAGGCATTTTAGAAAGTAGTCGCTGATGATTCAACATCCCAACCCCACCAACCTCTCGAAATTAAGCTCTCACTCAACTGGGGTTGCGGGGGAGGGCCCAAATTTTTTAAACTCTTGTATGTTAGCTTTCCATCTCCGACGCAAGATACTCTCTAAAATACTAGAAGAACAATATTTCTGCATGACACATTATTTGGGGAACTTCGAAACTTCAAAGATCACATGATGAAGCAAGCAGGACAACGGCAATTTTATGGAAGCTGGTGAAGGACTGTCATGTTAAAACTTGAAGCAAGATTCTTACGCAATAGTTTATGCGCACAAGTGATGCATAATATTGGATTTGGCAGCCAGTAATTTGTGTGGCAGGAATAGGTCCACTGTTAGGGTCATTGAAACGCCCCTATTTCTAAATTCTATGTAGTGCTGGACCATGAGGCATGTGCTGGTCAAGTACAAACATCAAGAACTATATGATCATTCTTGATTGCATACATAAGTGTGTTTACATGTAATGATGTAATGTATAAGTAAGTACACATGTTACTCCAACTCAGGAATTGCTTCTAACTGAATGTTTAGATTTCTTGCAGCCGTACTTCCATTGGTTCCTGCAACACCTGTAGAGGCAAAGGGATTGGGAGGCACGGTTAAGCTTTCTCCTCCTTCCAACATCTGAACCACGGCTCTCATTGAAGGGCGATCCACTGGATGCCATTGGATGCACCAGAGCCCTACAATTGCAAGTTTCTTTGGAATTTTTCCTTCTCCTTCTTCACCGATATGGATGCATAGGTCATCTCCTTCTTCTAGAAGATTATAAATCCATTCGGGATAGTAGATTTCATTTGTGTTCTCCGTGGCTGAACCGACATTCTTCCTTCCTGCTACCATCTCAAGCAGTAACATTCCAAAACTATACACATGTGACTTATAGGACACATTTCCAAAGTTACTGGAGAACACTTCAGGTGCAATGTAGCCCATGGTGCCCCTAGCTGTAGTCATTGACACTATGCATTGATCCTTGGAACATAACTTGGCTAAACCAAAATCAGAAATCTTTGGAGTGAAGTTGTGGTCTAGCAAAACGTTATGAGGTTTGATGTCAAAATGGAGGATTCGCTGATCGCATCCTTGGTGAAGATATTCAATTCCTTTGGCTATGGCTAGAGCAATATCTTGCATCTTATCCCAACCAAGGAAACTGTTCTTATTGTCTGGTGATGAAATGAAATCCTGCAGTGAACCATTTGGAAAGAACTCATAAACAAGAGCTCGTCTAAATCCATCAGCGCAAAAGCCAACCAAGCGAATGACATTGACATGGTGGATATGACCCAGTGTTCCCACTTCTTTGATGAACTCTTCCCCATCTCCCTTAGAACTATTGAGGACTTTCACAGCGACAAAGAGTTCAGAAGAAAGCATTCCTTTATAAACAGTTCCATAGGCTCCTTCCCCTAACTTGTCCTTGAAGTCATTTGTAATCCTCTTAATATCTGCATATGCATATCTGCTAGGTTTGAGAGCTCTGTAATCGTCTAAAAATCTTTCAATCTTTAACTGATTCTCCTTTTCTTTTCTATCAGAACTATAGACACGATAGGCTGCAACAACTAGGAGTAACACAACAAATGAACCCAGAGATGCACCTGCAAGTTAACCTTTGTAAATATTACCACGATCTCGTATATACAAGTGAAAAAAACTGCAACTCCAATTAAACAACTCACCTGTAGCCACCCATTTTCTTTTCGTACCTGAAAAAAAAATACACTGTCAAATAAGTAATTAGAATGAGCTATTGCTTGGAAAATATCCTTTAAATAAACAGTGCTGCTACTTTGCTCTAACTTAAAAATAAGTAAGCAAAACATAGATTGCAGATGATAATATCTCATTACATGAAAGCATTGTATTATTTGCATCTGCAGACAAGTGACCAGAATAGCAGAATATTAAGAATCTGTAACAATTCAAATATATGTGACCCAATTAAATATATGTTAGCCAAGTTAACCTCGAGGACCACGAACACAAAGAAAAATAAATAAATAAAATAAAAAATACCACAAGGATACAACTTGATAGATTCATCAACCTCAGGAATGTTTTGTGATAAAAAGCCAATAAATAATGCTGCTACTCTGCTCTCAACCTCCAAGTAAGTGAGTAAGCAAAAAGTGACTAGTATAGCAGAATATTAAGAATCTGTAATAAGTTAAATATATGTGAACCAAACTGAAATTTATGTTAGCCATACCTGCTTTACTGAAGTCCACACATTCAATTTCACTTTTGGTTCCATTGTTCTTCAATCTACACATCTTGCCCCTTGCCTCACACTGTCCACAATTTGGTTCAGACCACTCCAAATAAAGATTGGCAGGCTCGTATGAAAAATATGGAACTGATGACAAATTATACATTTTTGTACAAGACAGTAGGGGCAAGTCCCGAATGCTTTTGGAAGAAACAACAGAATAAACTTGGTAGCCAGGGCCACTGAAGCAGGGGACTGGTTCATCTAATTGCCTCTCAGCTAAAGAGCAATTGAATAAGGTAAGATCAGTCATGTAATTTTTTGAGAAGTGGAAGGGAGAGATTGACTTGTTGAAGACTTTCAAAAGCTTCACCAGAAGACAGCTTTCTGGGTCATATAATTGGATTGCCTGAGCCTTATAATCTATGCTTTTGACTGGGAATTTGAATGGAATTGGAAGCTCAAGAATTGTTTCATGCTTCTCATTGCATGACAGGACAAACCCAGGAAAGACACAGTGATCTGGGTGCCTGCCTTTGAGGCTGAAAGGGAAATGGACAGCTGGGCCTTTATCTCCACACTTCAATTTTTTGCAGGTATCTTGGTGTTCTCCAAGCACTGTGGAGAAAGCCAGAAAGATTAAGCACAAGCAAGAGGTGACCCTAATTTTTACCATATCTAACTAACCCAATCGTTTCTTTCTTCTGTGCTGCAGAAAAAGAAAATGGTATCTAAATCTTTCTGTGACTCATATTTCCAATAAGATGTCCTCTCATTATTTAATTAACCCAATCGTGTTTGGGATCTTACCAGGAAAAGAAGAACAAAAAAATACGTTGTTTTGGATGAAAAGACTATAAAAGTCAACAGTTGACTTAGAGGTCCCACGACATGTGACATTCTTGATGAATCAAATGTTGCATTTCTTTAAAAGGAATGCTAGTAACCTTCTCTCTAATTTTCTCCTTTTTTTTCATGACAAGTGTCACTTTCCTTACACTTAAAACAACCTCATTAATGCATCATACAAACTAGTTTTCGTTTTCCAAATTTACCCTTATTGAATGTATTAACTCTTTTTAATAACAAGCTAATTTTTTTACAACTTTCTTACCACCTTGTTAAAAAATTAAATAAGAAAATAAATACTGAAGTTTTTATTTTGTATTTTTTTCAAAGAGGACGTATGTTTTGTTAAACACAAAATAATGATAATATCACTTTCATAATAACAATGTCATGAAACAAACTTTTTTTCTTCTCATTTAATTTTTAACAATATGCTAAGGAAATTGTAACAAAACTTGGACAAGTTGAAGGAAATATAAAAGCTAATACATTTAATAAGGGTAAACTTAGAAAACAAAAACTATCTTGTGTGATGCATTAATGATATTGTTTTAAATGTAAGGAAAGTGACACTTGTCATGAGAATAAGAAAGAAGGTCTAAAAGAGAAGGTTAGAGAGAAGATTGCTAGCATTCCTCTTTCTTTAATCGTTTGTTTACTTTGTTTACGTTGACCATTATTATAATTATTTTATCATGGAACAAAGAATGCAATGAAACTTCCAAGGCTGCTGTTTGAAATGAGTCAGCAAGCACAAAACTAAAGATAACATAGTCACGACTCACAAGATAATCTCGCTTCACCCTTTGTTTTCACACGGCACCAACCTTACAAGGGGATGACCTGCATTATTCTATTGTGGTTGGCTGGTACTTGGAGGACAGGTGCAGAGTAGATGAGACGGCTATAAGAGCATCCACAATGATGCTCTCTATTTCTTAGCTAAAATTTAGCTAAAATATAAGAAAGCTATTTTAGGAGCTCTCTAAAAATTTCAACTCTAACTATACTCCCTAATTTAGAGAGTCATAAATGTTATAACTCTTTTTTTATTGGTCCATCTTTATTAAAAAAATAAAATAAAAATAGTTAGCATTAAATAAGGGTTTGAAATACTCATTAAATAAAACAGCATTAAATTATAAGGAGCCACTAGGAGTCCTTTTTCTCCTCAGATTTAGGAAGTCCTAGAAGATTTCCTATTTTAGGAGGTGGATAAGGAGCATGGTTAGAGTTGCATTTTTACGATTCCTTTTCAAAATTCGTCTAAGAATGTGATTTAGGAAGCCCATTGTAGATACCCTAACGACGTTTTGGTGTGAATTTAATAGATGGGTCCAATAGAATTTAATAGATGGGTCCAATGGAATGGAGGATATTGAAACTGTAAGACGCGGAACGAAAATAGCCAAACACCTGTCCGTTGACTGACTTTCTGACATCAATAATACCAATTTGAGCGGACGGTACAGACCTTGATAGATATCTCGAGAATATGCGTGTGGGCTTAGCATTACCTGCCCGTTGACTGACTTTCTGACCAAGGTTTACAATGGCATTACCTGCCCGTGGACGGTACAAAACTGATAGATATCTCCAGAACTTGTAAACCTCTCTCTCTCTCTCTCTCTCTCTCTCCCTCTCTCTCTCTCTCTATGGGAAGTGGAACAAGGCCCTTTACCTTGTCTTCATGGGTCTTAGTTGCAGCCTTCTTAGGTATTAACTTATTATCCAGTGAAATTTGTAGCGCTAAAGATATCTACAGGTGTGCTCCTTCTTCCTGCGGCAACATCCACAACATAAGCTACCCTTTTCGACTAAACCGTGACCCAGAATACTGCGGGGACTCGAGGTATACGTTGCACTGCGACAACAACGTTACGGTATTGCACCTACATTCTGGGAAAATACTTGGTGCTGGCCCTCAACTACGATTCCACATATATCCGAGTCGTAGATCCTGGCCTTGAAAAGAACAATTGCAATTCCATTCCTCGTTATCCTTTAGCCTACTCTAACTTCAGTCTGGGGGAACTGTATTATCCGTTAAGTCAGTCTGTAACTTTTTTCAAGTGTGCAAATCCAGTGAATTCATCTCTCAACGTAGTGATTGCTCCATGCATTAATAATCTGAGTAGGACAGGTTATGTCAACATTCACGATACAACGACGTCGGATCTGGAGGATGGGTGCAGTATAGAGTGGACGACTATGGCGAGTGAATCCTTGGACGACCAAAATTACCAAAACGTTTCTCACAGATACATAAACATACACAACGCTTTGACGGATGGCTTTTTGCTTTATTATCGTAGCTCAGGTGTTGCCTTTGTTGAATGTGGCCCACACCAATGGATCCCACTTGGTTCCAAGTGTAAGCCAGGTACGTCTTTATTTTTAGTCATATATATATATATGTGTGTGTATATACATATCGCAAGCTTCAATTAAGGGATTCTTAAAAAGAAATACCCTTACCCATAAATACATTTTATGGGCTCACACTCTGTATTATATACGCCTTCAAAGATTTTCTCAGCAAAAAATCACTTGAATCTTATGAATCTGAAGCACATAAATGTGATTTTTATCATGGTACATAAATGTGATTTTTCTAGTATTATATGTATATATTACGGTTGTTATGTGGCAAAGTTACAACTGTGATAGTTTTGTTTTTCTTTGTTATTGTAGGTAGCTTTGTTTTGGATCTGTTGAAGCTGATTTACGGTAAATGATCTTTCTTAAAGTGTTTTGTTTTTGCTTTTGTATTAAAAAAAGGGTGCAAAGTCTTTTGTTTTTGTCTTTGTTAACTTTTGTTGTATTTTGCAGATTATGAGGCGCAATTCTTTAGCTCAGGTAACAGCTTCTATTTCTTTAATTATTCAACACTGTATTTTATTATATTTTTACTTTATTCTTTTTCCAAACATATAGTCGGAAGTCTTTGATTGATTTTGTCTGGCTTTTGTCTTATTGCTTGCAGGTGATCCATGGCGAGGAATTACGCTACTAATAACCATTATCTTCGGTAAGAGCGTGTTTTAGCAATTCAATTTCACTTTTTACACTCCTTTACCACTCACCCATGAAGAGCCCATGAGGTAATTTACGAGTAATTATAGAATGCCAAAATCATCACCCTAAATTGATTAGGAAAAATGAAGATGATGAATTGCACAATAATTTACATAGCTATTTAATAGACAGAAGGGATGTGATAAAGTGTAAAAAGAATGCATCAAAAAGCTATTCAGTTTCTGTAATTTTCTCATTTTTATTTTTTTTTTTTTGTAATGCCCTTGTGCAGTACTACATCTCATGGTAAAATTTATACTGGCTCCATTTGTGATTGGGTTTTTTATCTATACATGGCGGAAAAGACATTCGTCAATGTATAGCACGATCGAAAATTTTCTGCATGATGATAACAATTTTCCGCCGATAAGGTACTCTTACTTGGACATTAAAAAGATGTCTAACGAATTCAAGAATAAGTTAGGTGAAGGAAGCTTTGGCATGGTATTTAAAGGAAAATTACGCAGCGGCCATTTTGGAGCAATTAAGATGTTGAGCAAGTCCAAAGCTAATGGGGAAGATTTCATTAGTGAGGTAGCTACCATTGGAAGGATTCACCATGTTAATGTGGTGCAACTTGTTGGTTATTGTGTTGAGGGTTCAAAGCGCGCTTTAGTATATGAGTTCATGCAAAATGGATCTCTTGATAAACACATTTATTCCAAACAAGGGAATAACTTGCTAAGTTACAAGAAAATGTATGATATTTCACTTGGAGTAGCTCGAGGGATTGAATATCTACATCAAGGTTGTGACATGCAAATTTTACATTTTGATATCAAGCCTCATAACATCCTTCTTGACGAAAATTTTGTTCCAAAGATTTCTGACTTTGGGCTTGCGAAATTATATCCTACGGTTAACAGTACTGTCTCGTTAACGGCAGCAAGGGGAACAATGGGTTACATGGCTCCTGAGTTGTTCTACAAAAATATTGGTGGCGTCTCATACAAAGCTGATGTCTATAGCTTTGGAATGCTGTTGATGGAAATGGGAAGCAAACGAAAGAATTTAAATGCACGTGCAGAGCATTCAAGCCAAATTTACTTCCCCTCATGGGTGTACGATCAGTATAAGGAGGGAAAGGAGCTGGAGATGGAGGATATAACAGAGGAAGAAAAGAAAATAGTAAAAAAAATGGTTATAACTGCCTTGTGGTGTATTCAAATGAAGCCAAGTGATCGTCCGGCAATGAACGAAGTTATAAAGATGCTCGAAGGAGATGTAGAAAGCCTACAAATGCCTCCTAAGCCTTTTCTGTGCCCTGAAGAGATGCCTGTAGATATTCATGATAATTTGAACCATACATGTTCTAACATGGAGTTGACGTGTACTCTGTCACCTAGGTGATGATGAGGTAGCAACTTTTGCAATTTTATTCAAATACTCCAGTACTTGTGTAGCGTCTCTCTGCTTGTTTTCCGGGTTCTGCATTTTAGTTTGGGTACTCTATGTCTGGTTTCAGTTTCTGCATTTTAGCATGTTCTTATTTGTACGGAGCTTCTTTTTCATGGAGTTTCTCATTTATGGATAAATAAAAAAACTCTTGCTGTGTTAATGTGTCAATAAAAAAAACCTTTGAAATCCCAAAATTGCCCGAGTAATCTCACAGTTTTAACTTTTAAAAACTACGAAATATAAGGGGCGGTGGAACATTACCCCATACTTACGAGAATCAGGAGTCTTTATCTCCAGTTTGCAGAATTCCGGCGATGAACAGTTGAGTCGGGAACGGTTGTCGCAATACGCTGGTCGCCCGATGAAATATCTATTCGTCGCCCCATCTATGTATTTAACCCGATGAAATGTTTTGTCGCGTGAAACTTCCTGGCAGCACGTCGTCGCCTGAAACCGGTGGGCACAGTAGCCCGCTGTTCGTTCATGATACTGGGGAGAGAAACTGTTTCGTCGCCTGGTATCATTTCGCCGACAGTAGCTAGTTTGTCGCCTTAAGTTTTGTCGCCATAGCTAAGTTTTCTTGTAGTGTTGTAATTCCAGCCGCATATTGTAGCTTCAACTAGAACTTTCTACTAGCTTCAATTAAGTAAGTGACTAGTGTTTAGGGAATACATCTACCGACTTCGCATTCTAAATTATCCTAGAAAATTCTGCTAGATTGTAGAAATATCCACCAAATATGCATTATTTTTCAACAGTAGGTCATCTCCTCCTTCTAGCAGATTATGGATAGTAAATTTCATTTGTGTTCTTTGTGCTTGAACCAATATTCTTCCTCCTTCCTACCCATCTCTAGCAACAGTATTCTAAAACTATAGACATCTAACTTGTAAGACACATTTCCAAAATTCCTAGAGAACACTTCGGGTGCAATGTATCCCATGGTGCCTCTAGCTGTAGTCATTGACACTATACTTCGATCCTTGGAACATAATTTGGCCAAACCAAAATCAGAAAATTTTGGAGTGAAGTTGTGGTGTAGCAAAACATTATGGGGTTGGATATCAAAATGGAAGATTCAGCAGAGGTCCCAAACATTATGGGATTTGGAGCATTCCTTTAAAAATAATTCCTAGGCTCCTTGGCCCAACTTCCAGTTAGATTCTGACAGAGGTCTTTGCGACTGCGGAACTCTGCACGCTCTGAGATGACGATCGAATTGCCGTGAAAAAATCTACCAGGCTGGTTGATCAACCAACCAAACAGGCAGGTTAGAGGATCGACAGGTATTGGGGTCATATTGAAAAGGATTGAAAGGAGAATGAACATAAGTATCAAAGTGAGAAAGGAAAAAATGATTTTTCATGGGTTATTTAACAAATGGATGAGTATTTTATATGTTTGGGATGAGTTTTCGTGTATCATCTGATTTTTTTTTTTTTTTTTTTTTTTTTTTTTTTTTTTTTTTAAAATTTTTGACCTTTGGAATTTTATTTTTAAATTTCCATTTAACTTTGTTAAGGATATCATACCAAGAACAATCATTTGAAAAAAAAAAAAAAAAAAAAAAAAAAAAAAAAAAAAAAAAAAAAAAAATTGTAGCCATCTAATTCCAACGACAATATTAACGACATCCACATGCCCTTAGGTTTGGCTAACCCAATGGGTCAACAAATCTGACTTTGCACATAAGAGCAAGTGGCTTGTGTGATTGGGCTCCACCAATTTTCAGTCAATGCAAAAGGTAGACTGCTATTCCACCTAATATATGGACTGGATTAATATTTCACCTGACCCTATCCATCCAAGTCGTATTTCCATTTCTAAAATTGGAAATGGCGTTGGGATGAAGATGTTCTGGGTAAAACTCTCGTCCTTAATAATGATATTGAGATGACTTAAGTCGGTTATGCAAGACCAACCCCCACATATCATCAAGCTAGATGCAGATGGATTGAATTTAACAGATGGGACCAAACCAATGGTGGATAATGAACTTGTTAGATGCAAATGGAAAATGGACAAATAGTCCAGTTGAACTATCCCACTGAAGACTTGAAAAGTAAACTCCATGTTTTTCCCCTAACGAAAGTCTTAGCATCTATGAGCCGAGATTTCCATTTATTATTTTTTTTTCCCATTGTTGAAATTTCAACGCATGCGTCCCCAATTCCCATTCAACTAAGACATAGAGGAAAACTCCAAAATTCCAAGTTTTTCTTTTTCATTGACAACGGACACCAATTTGTATACCAATTGATTTACAAAGGATAGGATTCCCAAATTTTCAACAATAAAAAAATATAACTTAGGTCCCTTGAATGAAGTCTCTAATACCCAACTCCCTCAATTTAGGCTAGAATTATTACATGTTCATGAAGTTCAAGCACGTGTGTAGTTAATATTACTTACATTGGTGCATATACATATACTTGTACATTTTACTCTAATTCAGCAATTGCTTCTAACTCTAGGCGTCTTGCTGGGATGCTTGCATGTGTTGTTGTAGGACCTCCAGAGGCAAAAGGATTAGGAGGCATGGTCAAGTTATCTACTCCTTCTAACATATGAACAGCTGTTTTCATAGACGGACGATCCACTGGGTGCCACTGGATGCACCGGAGCCCTACAATTGCAAGTTTCTTTGGAATTTTACCATCTCCGTCGTCCCCAATATGGATTCGTAGGTCATCTCCTCCTTCTAGAAGATTATAGATCCATTATGGGTAGTAAATTTCATTTGTGTTATTTGTGGTTGTACCAATACTCTTCCTTCCTCCTACCATCTCTAACAGCAACATTCCAAAACTATAGACATCCGACTTGTAAGATACATTTCCGAAATTCCTAGAGAACACTTCAGGTGCAACATAGCCCATGGTGCCTCTAGCTGTAGTCATTGACACTATACTTTGATCCTTGGAACATAATTTGGCCAAACCAAAATCAGAAATTTTTGGAGTGAAGTTGTGGTCTAGCAAAACATTATGGGGTTTGATATCAAAATGGAGGATTCTTTGATCACATCCCTGGTGAAGATATTCAATTCCTTTGGCTATGCCTACAGCAATATCATGCAACTTTTCCCAACCAAGGAAATTGTTCTTACTGTCCGCTGATGAAATGAAATCCTGCAGCGAACCATTGGGGAAGAACTCATAAACAAGAGCCCGTCTAAATCCATCAGCACAAAAGCCAACCAAACGAACTACGTTGACGTGGTGAATGTGGCCCATCGTTCCTACTTCATTTACAAACTCTTCCCCATTTCCCGTAGAATTGTTAAGTACTTTCACAGCAACAAAGAATTCAGAAGAAAGCTTTCCTTTATAAACAGTTCCATATGCTCCTTGGCCCAACTTATCCTTGAATTCATTCGTGATCCTCTTAATATCTGCGTAGGAATATCTGCTTGGCTTGAGAGATTTGTAATCCTCTAAAAACCTTTCTATTTTTAATCGATTCTCTTTTTCCTTTCGATCAGCGCTATAGACACGATATAGTGCAATGACCAGTACTAAAAGAAGGGATGAACCCAGGGTTGCACCTGAAAATAAATACAATCCTTGAGCAAACGCATATCTTCCATCGTCCTCTAGACATGAAACAAAGCAAACGAAAAATACCAGTTTTAATTAACTCACCTGTTGCCACAAATTTCGTTGTTTGGCCTGTAAAACAGAATTGCAAAATCAGATTGTCACGTTGGTAGCAGATTATACTGATCATCATGCATGCATATATGATTACTTTGAAAACTGTAAAATCTTGAGCGGAATTTATGTGAAACAAAGATTTATATCATCCTTACTTGCTTTGCTGACGTGAACACATTCAACTTCACTTTTGATGCCATTGTTGTTCAATCTGCACCTCTTTCCCTCTGCTTCACATTCTGTACAATTTGGTTCAGACCATTTGAAACTAGGAATAGAGGTGTCATCTCCCATCCAAGTCCCAGATGGAACTGACAAAACATCATACATCCGTGTACATGACTGTAGGTTTGGTAAGTAGTCAAACAAATCAGCGACAGAAGAAACGCCATAAACTTCGTAGCCAGGGCCGCTGTCAAGGCAGGGGACTTGAAATGTATATATGTCTCTTCCAAAAGGAGTAGGACAATGGAATAAGGTAACATTGCGTATTTCGGTGTCTAATAAGTAGAAGGGGGAGATTGGAATGTTAGGGGTTTCTAAGGGATTTAACAGCAGGCAGCCTTCTTGGCTATATATTAGCCCACGCTTGTAATCTATGCTTTTGACAAAGAATTTTACTAGCGCTACTTGCTGCTCAAGAACAGCCTCCTGTCTACCATTATTGCATCCAAGCCCAGAATCGCCACAATGATTTCCGAGGAGGAATGGGAAATGGATAGCCAGGCCATGATCATTACTGCACTTTGATTCTGTACACCAATTTTGGCTTGCTCCAACCGCCGTGAAGAAAACACATAACAATATGCAAAAGGAAGACATGAACAATTGCTGCATTTCTGAGCTAATAATGCATGTGGATTTTTTCCCTAAGCACATAATTTGGAAAACTAAGTCAAGAATGATAAAGGTTTTCAGTAAATAAAATGAATATACAAACCATTGACTGAAAGAAACTCCTAATCAGCAACTAAAGTCAAAAAAATAAGGCTGAAATGGCACTATTAAATCATCAATTGCCCTATAACGACCCATTCAATTCTTCTGGATGTGCTCTTACAGCTTACACGCAATTACCATCTCATATAAAGAACTGTCCAAATATTAAACTAGTTTGAATGTCAAACAACCTCTCTCTCTCTCTCTCTCTCTCTCTCTCTCCCTCTCTCTCTCTCTCACCATGGGAAGCAGGTCCTTGGCCTTGTCTAGGTGGGTTTTAATTGTAGCCTTTCTTGTTGTTGGCTTAGCCGGTGAAACTTGTAACGCCAAGGATGAAAGCACCAAGTGTACCTCTTCCTGTGGCAATATCCACAACATAAGCTATCCTTTCCGACTAAAACATGATCCAAAGCACTGCGGCAATGTAAAGTATACTCTGTTTTGTGAGAACGACAATACACTTGTAGACGTACCTTCTTCTGGAAGATACTATGTCCAGGCAATCAACTACCATAACCAAACAATCCGACTCGTAGACCCTGGCCTTCAGAACAACAATTGCTCCTCCATGCCTCGAAATTTTCTTCCCGGGTTAAGATATCCATATTCTATAGACAATACAAAGGGTTCACCGCTTTCAACGCCTATATTTTACATCATGTGTTCAAATCCAGTGAATTCTTCTCTGTACGTGGAAACTGCTCCATGCTTGAACACAAGTGCTACTTCTTTGGTCCAACAAAAGACGTATAGTTATGTGAAGGCTGGGGCAATGGTAGTGGGGGATTTGAACAGGGGTTGCAGTGTAGAGTACGCTTCGGCGCTCTTGAACTACTCTAAGGACTACATGCCCTCTTATAAATCCATACACAGTGCACTCATGTATGGCTTCGAGCTTAGAGTATATTGGCCTTACGAAAAGTGCCCAGGCCAATGGACTTCTAATTCTAAATGTTTTCCACGCACCATCCTAGGTACGTGAATTCTTGGCCATGGCTTGTAAATGTTGCACTTTTACTTTGTGAATACATAGAAGGAAGTTAGGGGCACTCAAACTCCGGTAACGTTCTCTTGTCAGACTTGTAATTGTCAGAAAAATACATGTGTTTTTAATCTTTGGATCTCGACTAAACATTCAAGCAAAGAATACATATGATAGATGATTCAGATTCACACATTGACAATATATCTAATAGTGTGGGACTATCTGGCAAGAGAGACTGTTACCCTTTAAACTCCAGTCCAAAAATGTACTTGCTATTTTTAGTTTGCTAGTTTAGGATGATGAACTTGTATATAAACCCCAATTAATGAATGAAATAGACAAGCAAAACTCAAAGTATTTACTTAACTTCTTCCTTTTGTTTCTCTAATTGTCTTAAAATTCATCTTGTTCCCTTATTCCTATAAAACTAGGAATTCATAATTTTATTGACTAGAAATTTTGGATTAGACTTAGGCACCCTTTTGGTGACTTGTTTGTTCCCCAAGTTGTGCAAATCATTTAGAGCAGAAGAAGAGCCCCATACGCTTGGGTCTACCCCGACCCCTGTCAGACTTTGGCCCGGTCAAAGTCCTTAGTTGACCACCTGATTAAGACTGGTCCTCAACACAATCAATCTATCAAATAGAAACGATGTCCTTAGTAAAGTTGTTTCCAAACGATGTCCTTAGATGCCATGTCAAGAAAAACGTAGCTAGCTTCATGGTTAGACAGTCGAATGGGCTGGATCTGTATGTGAATCTCGGGTGGCTTATGTTCTGGGTGATTTTTGGCTTGGTTTGCTGAGCTATGGGTGTTTGGGTCTTCATGGTGATGACTGGCGGTGTGTCCATCTACAATCGGGGAGTTTCTCTTTGCTGGTGGTGGCGGCTTGGAGTTTCTCTTTGATTGTGGCGGCTAGGTTTTATGTGTTTCATTTTATGTATTCTATGTTTAATGTGGGCTTTTTGCTAAATGTGGGTGTAATACCTCTTTGTGGGCTATATGCCTTTATGTGGGCTAAATGCCTTGTTGTTGGCTTTTGACGTTTTAAGTTCGGCTAAGGAACATGATCTTTATGCTATGCTGTACTGGTTTTAGTTAGATTTGTTCCTGTTTGTTTTCTAGTTTTCTGACCGGTACTTTTGCTTGGCTTTGATTGTACTGTTCTCTACCCCTTTGAGGGTTTGCAATGAATTGCAATTTCAACAACAACAAAAAAAAGAAAAAAAAAGACAGACGAATGGGCAAATGGTGTACCAATTGAGAACTTAAAGGTTATTTTTGTTAGTTTTTAAACGACATGGGTCAAACTGTTACAAATCTCAAACCACGAGAGTGAAAAATGTAATTGACTTTAAACTTTAATTACTTTGTGTGCTAATGTTATCTTCTTCTTTTCACTGCAGGTTTAATTCGATTTCGATGGGAGGTTACTAAAGGTAAGCTAGCAAGTGCTCTCTCTCTCTCTCTCTCTCTCTCTCTCTCTCTCTCATATAACAACTTTTGAGTACACGACAAGAGATCACGATTCCACCAAACATCACGATTCCACCAAACATGTGTTATAAATTCTTCTTCATCTTCTATATATATATGTAAAGTGAAAAGTATAGAATGGTAAAACATTTAAAATACTAAAAAATGTACTTAGTTAAAGAAAATATTAAGAAATAAACATATTTAGTAAATCCATATTTATGGAAGATAACTGTCCATTTTATCTTTTTTTAATTCTAACATAAATTAAAATTAAAATAAAAAGAAAACCAATTTGCCAAGGGGCTAGTTAGATTTAAATCAATGCGCCAAGGGGCTAGTTTGTGCCTGGAATAGAGGTATGTATCAAAACTTGGTTTCAAATTGTAATGACTCCATATGCTAATGTTGTTTTTTTTTCCCCTTACTTTTGTCACTGTAGTTTTCTTTTCTCGTGGAGACGTGTATGTTGGTAAGGACTTTCTCTTCATTTTTCTTTCCCCAACCCCCACCCCCCTCTTTTTTTTTATGTCAATTACACGACAATTGTAGTAAGTGGAGAGAAATGAACTTGTGACAGAAAATATGTCAATTCAAACTTAGTCCAAGTCTTCGTTTTTGCTTACATTTGTTGTTGTATTTCTTGCAGCTAGACATCCATGCTTTGCCTTCCAATCCATCCGTAAGATCTTGACATTCATGCAATATAATCAGTTCTTCGATTTTGTTCCCTTTCAAAAAAATTGTAGTCAAGTCTTTGATTTTGTTCGCACTTTTTCTATGTTTCTTGCAGGGCGTAGATGGGGGCCACTCATTTGCTTGGGTAAGGGTTTGTGTAATCCCTTGAATGACATCAAAATCAAAGAATACATATATAGATTCCAAACAAAAGGAAGACAATGTCTCGCAAACAAGAAGGAAAAAGCATTAGTTGATCTAAATGTTCTTTTCTCATTGTTCTTTTGGTGATACATCTCTTGTGCAGGTTCATTTTTTGCAGCAAGACTCATTTTTGGGGTTCCATGTATGATTGCATTCCTAATCTATAAATGGGGAAGACGACATTTGTCAATGTATAGCGTCATAGAAGATTTTCTACAAAGTGATAGCAACTTCTTGCCAATAAGGTACTCTTACTCAGAAATTAAGAAGATGACTAATAAATTTAAGGATAAACTGGGTGAAGGCGGCTATGGCTCTGTATTTAAAGGAAAGTTACGCAGCGGCCGTTTTGTAGCAATTAAAGTTCTGGGCAAGCCCAAAGGTAATGGGCAAGACTTCACAAGTGAGGTAGCTACCATTGGAAGGATTCATCATGTTAATGTGGTGCAACTTATTGGTTATTGTGTTGAGGGATCAAATCGTGCTCTAGTATATGACTTCATGCCAAATAGCTCTCTCGATAAATATATTTATTCCAAAGAAAAAAGCATGCCCTTAAGTTGCAAGTACGAGATTTCTCTCGGAGTGGCTCGAGGGATTGAATATCTGCATCAAGGTTGTGAAATGCAAATTCTACATTTTGATATCAAGCCTCATAATATTCTTCTTGATGAGAACTTTAATGCAAAGATTTCTGACTTCGGGCTTGCAAAATTATATTCCGTAGATGATAGCATTGTCTCTTTGACAGCAGCAAGGGGAACAATGGGCTATATTGCTCCTGAGTTGTTCTACAAAAATATTGGAGGTGTTTCCTACAAAGCTGATGTCTATAGTTTTGGAATGTTGCTCATGGAAATGGCAAGTAGAAGGAAGAATTTCAATTCAATGGTAGAGCGTTCAAGCCAAACTTACTTCCCGTTGTGGGCGTACGATCAATATAACAAAGGAAATGACTTGGAGATGGGAGATTTTAATGAGGAGGAAAAGAAAATCATAAAAAAGATGGTTATAACTGCATTGTGGTGTATTCAAATGAAGCCAAGTGATCGGCCTTCCATGAACAAAGTCATAGAAATGCTCGGAGGAGATGTTGAATCCCTAAAGATACCTATCAGACCTTTTCTGTATCCACAGGAGATGCATGCAATTGATGTTCAAGAAAATTTGAAGTCAATAGGTTCCAACGGGGAGTTAACATGGACTTTGTCAGCTAGGTGATCATCAAATTGTTAGAAAATGCAATCATTTATTGTTTTTATTTTTATTTTTTATTTTTTTTTGTGTAGGACCTTTCCTAGAGGGGCAATAATATACTAAGTTGAAAAAACTCTCATCTTCAAAATCAAGAGGAATTAAATTTTTTATGTATTTATGAGGTACTAAGGCGTTTTTAGATTCCAAATAACTTGGATCATTGCAAACCCTCATAAATAAAGAAACTCTTAAAATTCAGCTCCATCAAAGAATTCTTTGCATTTCCCTATAATAAAAAAATTGTACCAAAAAGCACTATGACCGCACTAAATATGTACCCAATGTTGGTCATTTTGCTTTTGGCTAGCCCATCAAGAATGATTTTCACAACTTTCTCAATTTCAACTTTCAAGACATCTAATTCGAAAATCTTGGGGAATGTAAAAAATGTATCGCCATTATCTGCGCTCAAGAAGTTGGTGGAAGTATTTTCGAAGGTGGGACTATAAAGATGGTTGTTGCCATAAGCTTGTGTCTGTAGGCAAAAATTTGTCTTGCTTTATTCTTCAACTTTGCTCTTGGGTCTAAACCCAATGTCGATAAATCTGGAGCTTTGGCAAAGAGTACACAAGTTTGGAATCGATGTGTTGGAATTGCAGTCTCCCCTGCATCTTCTGTCACAATTCCAAACTCAAGGGCTTCAAAATCGAAAACAGTTAATGAATGTAAAAATCATATCTCCACTATTGATGAATGTAAAAATCATATTTCCACTAAGTGCGCTTGAGAGGTTTGTGGAAGTATTTTCCAAAGTGGGAGTGTAACACATGGTTGTTGCTATAAGCTTGTGTCTGCAAGAAAAACTTGCCATGATCTATTCTTTAACTCTACTCTTGCCTCCAAACCCAATGTCGACAAATCTAGAGCTTTAGCAGAGAGTACACAAGTTTGGGACCAATGTGTTGAAATTACAATTTCCCCCACACCTACTGTTGCAATTCCCAAACCAAAGTCATTAAATTCAGAGACCTTGGTTGAATGCAAACATATCTCCATTAATTGCGGTTGGGAAGTTGGCGGAAGTATTTTTGAAGGTGGAATGGTAATAGGTGATTGTTGCGATGATCTTTTGTTTGAAGAAAAAAACATACTGTGATATATTCTTCAATGCTACTCTTTTGTTCAAACTCGATGTGAACAATCCTAGAGCTTTAGCAAAGAGTACACAAGTTTGAAATTGATGTGGTGAAATGACAATTTCACCTACATCTTCTATTTTAGAACTGGAGAACTAAAATAATCAGAAATTATGCATGAGATATTTGCTATGTTAAATTAACATTTTTATTTCATATATGTTTAAAAAAAAAAAAAAAAAAAAAAAAAAAAGACTTCACCATGTTGTTTCATTACGAGTTCAATTTTGTTGGTTAATTACGGTTCTTCAACAATTGAAAAACAAAATAGTACTATTTTCCACAGCAACCAACAATGACTCCATTCCGTTCTTTGTGAGGTTCAAATTATTATTGAACCTTTTTTTTCGCAAAGTAAGTTTATTAATGTTTATTATTTTTAATTTTTTTGGTATGGGATAGGCGTTTATGGTCGTCCTTTTGTTCACATTATCATCATTTCTTCATCGTCATCTTACTGGGTTGCACATTGTAGATCAGAAACACTCAATCAGTCCAATTGACAACGAAAGAATGCTTCAATATATTTGGAACATTTTATTCATGTACGCTAAATAAGCATACTCATGTAATTAATTGTCACAATACTATCACAATTTGTTTTACCTAAAATTCTGAAGCTACTTTCTGCAAAGCTCCATGTAACCCACTTTATTGATGCTCAAATCTCACTTTACCCCTTGAAAGTTAAGGTGACCCAAAATTACCCCTTTGACCGGTGTTTTGCGTCCCACGTTACCCATTGTTGAATACATAAGTGCCCTGTGTGGAAAAAATCAATAAAATAAAAATAAAAATTACTTCTCTCTCCCTCTTTCTTTCTCTGTACTCACTACCCTCTCCCTCCCGTACAAACCACTTCTGGCAGGCATCACTGCCCCCACCTCCTCCCATGCGCTCCTCTAACTAACTCCGCCGCCCCCTCCCCTACCAGCCGCTTAGGGCAGGCATCTATGACTCATCTCTTCCTATCCCTTCCTCTAACAAGCTTTGCCATCCCGACCCCCTCCAACCACTTGGGTCTAGGTAGAGAACACGCCCTTGAAGACCTTTTCCCAACGAAGACCCACCCGATGTGCACACACTGGCTTGGCCTCTATTCCTGCCACATCCAACGACATCGAAACCTAACCCAATAGCCTCATGACATCCTAGGTGTTGCCGCTGCTAGATCCAAGGGCACTGAAACTCGGGCCAACAACCTCCCATAGTTTACGCCAATGTGCTGCCTCTGCGACCCGTGTATATCAGGATTTTAAGGCAAAGCTTGGGAGAATCGAAACTCTCAGAATACTGTGACCGTGGTCATTATCTGCTCTCCGTTGACTGCTCGACCTCGAGCTTGAAAACCTTGACTGCGGTCATCATTCGATGGGCCATCATTTTGAGTCAACTCTTCTTTCAGTTGGGTCTGAAACAGCCTTGGGCTGGGAATATGTTAGTACAAAAATTGTATTGGCATTTCCTAAACTCTAGCATAGGTTGGAAACTAGTGTGTGAAGAATTGTTTACTAGACGTTTTAGCACAACACAATCAATCCCATACTTCCGAGGCATGACTTGACTGATATGAGAAACTTGACTTCAGGTAAATCATGACATAATCATGCATTTACAATAGGATTTATAATTGAAGTTATTTTCAATGCCATTGTGATTTAAGTTAAAATGTCAGCGTTTCCTATAGTGACGTGCACCATGCTCATCTACTAATTAACTTGTTTTAGGAGATGATTATATCTTCATAAAAGCGGCCATTTGGTGTCATCACTAAAGAGTCCATATTGAATCACAATTCATATTCATAATTAGATAGTATTGTGCCTTCTGTTTGGCGTCTAAATGAAGAGACCACATTGGATCAGGTTTGAAAGTTAAAGTTGGATACAATTAGCGTTCACTTGGTTTTCTCTCTTTTGAGAGAAAACCTGCCTTGAATAAAACGTTAGGTTTTCCCTTTCAAACTTTTTGAGCTTTCAACGATTGGTTTTTTAGCATATTGAATTTTGAAAAGAAAGCTACTGTGCATATTTTTCAGATAAGTCATCAAGTGTTCCTTGTTTGCTTGGTGATTTATCAAATCCTTTTATCTTTCATATTGCATTCATATGCATGTTGGTGACTCATACGGTTGAGGGCACCGAGACTGTTGTGGAGTTTATCCTTCGGCGAGCTTGAAACAATCGCGACCAATATTACGTTCAACATAAGGAGTGTCGAAGATCATCTCGTGACAGAAGTTGAGCTACTAAGAAGTCAGTAAACTTTATGTAGATTGCGTCTAGGATATGTGTGTGAGTATTTCTTGTAATCCTGATTCTATAGTGGATTTGTTCTGGAATAAGGAGTCCCGTCGATTTTTCTCAAAAGTGGGGTTTTACCACGTAAAATAAATAAGTGCATGTTCTTTTACTTTAAGCTCTGCACATTTCAGGATTGATAAGCCATATCAATCCTGCTTCGAAAATCTCGAATTAGCCTATTCAAACCCCCTCTAGGAATTTTTGGTCATCCTACAGGTAATTTCAATTGGCTTCAGAGCAGGTTGCTGAACTTACTCAACAAGATCTGACATACCTTAGGATAGATCGTATAGTGGGTTCTGTTGCACATCCACCGTACTTCGATGGCAACAACTATGGCGCTTGGAAGGCTAAAATGAAGTCGTTTCTTTAGTCCCTAGATGAACGTGTATGGAATGCAATGATTCATGGATTTCCTAAACCCACAAAGAAGATCATAAAAGGAGATGAAGAAACCACAGTCCTCAAAACTAGAGAGGAGTAGACCACTACAAAAGCCACACACAACACTAATAATCAAAAGGGGATAAATGTTATATTTACAGCTGTCTCTTCCGATCAATTTGAATATATATGTAGTTGTGATACTTCTAAGAAAGCTTGGGATATTTTGCAGGTCACTCATGAAGGAACAGATATTGTCAAGGGTGCCAAGCTTCAAATGAACACTTTACAGTTTGAGACAATCATGATGGATGCGAATGAAACATTTTCTGAATTTTATGCTAAACTCTGCATTATTGTAAATGCATGTTCAAATGTAGGTGAAAAAATTCCAGAAGATAAGGTGGTGAAAAATATTCTAAGGTCCTTGCCTTAACGTTTTCTACCAAAAATCACAGCGATTGAAGAGATTCATGACTTGAACACCTTGAAAGTTCGTGAACTCATAGGGTCTCTTCAAACCTACAAGATGAAGTATCTAGCTCCTAAAAAGAATAAAAGCGTTGCTCTCAAAGTGGTTGACAAAGAAGATGTTGAACACCAATCAGAAGAATTCAATGGAGAGGAATTTGCTTATCTTTCACGACAATTCAAGAAGTTTTTCAAAAATCAAAATTCCAGAAGTCACGACTCAAGAAATCAATAAGGTATAAATTCAAAAATTAACCATGGTGACTATATTGATGGTAATTTAAAATCTCACAGGTTCACTGAGAACAAAAACACTAAAGCGAGAGTCAAGTGCTATGGATGCGAAGGATATGGACATATTGCCTCTGAATGTGCCAACACACAAAAGAAGCAAAATGGAAAAGCCAAATCGCTGAATGTAACCTAGAGTGATAGGGATTCAGAATAGGAAAGTGAAGAAAATACCATTGCATTAATCACCACTGTCAGCGTGGATGAGGCACAACAAAACAATATGAATGATGGAGAACCAAATATTGACCATGTGCTGGAAAAGTATGATGATCTATTGGCTGCCTCTCAGAAGCTCAACAAACATAATAGAGAGCTTACAAAAAGAGTTGCTTGCTGGAACTTGAAAACAGTAGGACTGCTAGGACGTTGCAATCCTCTGCTGCCATACCAAAAATAATAGGTGAAGGTATGTACGAGAAATTGGAAACATTACAGAAAAAGTGCGTTGATCAAAATTAATTAATTGTTTCTTTGACCTCTGACAACCAAGCCCTTGAAATTGAGCTTAAAAGTTCAAAGGAGAGGATTATTGCTTTGACAATTGGTGCATAAAAGGTTGACATAATTAGTAGCATGGGTCGAAGAGATGGAGACAAACGTGGCCTAGGTTTTGATTCAATCAACAAGTCTTTCACTGTATCCGTCACAAAGTTTGTCAAACCATCACTTCCTGTTGGTGCTCCAACTTCAGAAACAACTTGAAGATTCATACCCCACGTGTCACTATTGTGGAGCTCTTGGACACATCCGACCAAAATGCAAACTGCTCCAACAGATTTCAGTAAGTCAAAAATCCACCAATGAGGGACAGGTAAGAATTCAACACAAGATTGTATATCTTGTGAAAGAGGTAGGCAGGTTGTCAAAACTCTCTCATTCCTTATCTTTACCAAGTTCAAATCTAGTGTGGAGGAGAAATGACAATCAAAATTGCTTGCTATCGCTTTCAAGTGATGCACATCAAACTAATGCTCCTAAAATCTTAGATGTGAAAAATGTTTTGTTGCTCTTACTGCTCTTTCTGTCTCTGAATCTAATATCTTGATAGTGGGTGTTTGACAGTTGTGGAGATCCGAGGACACATGGACAAATGGTTTTCATTTTTTTTTCTTGTTTTTCTTTTTTTTTTTTTTTTTTTTTTATTTTTTTTAAAATCAAAATCACACAGAATGTGTGAGTGGAATAAACATAAGTGTAAGTCAACTTTGTGATGAAATAGGTGAGGTAAGTTTTACTAAAACCCAAAGCATTTTCAATAATAAACATAACCACAAGGTGTGGTGCGGTTGGCAAATTGCCACCTTCAGCTGGCGAGCTATCTAGTGCCTCAATGGCGGGGGTTCGAAACCCGTTGGAAGCACTTTGCAGCCAGGAGCAAGCCGAATCCTGAGCGGGGATTAATCCCACCCTTCGGGTGTGGGAACACCTCGTGGTATTTACCAAAATAAAAATAAAAGACAGATCAAAGGTGATGATTGGAAAAATATCACCTGACAATTGCTATTGTTTTTTCACTAAAGAAGTTTCTCAAGTTTGTTTTAGTGACAAGTAAGATCACCTTGATTTATGGCATCGACGTTTGGGACACATGAACTATCAAGACTTAATTAAATTGTCAAAATGTGAATCTGTAAGAGGAGTGCCTAATCTTTCAAGTAAACGTGAGGGTGTTTGTGAAGGGTGCTAACTAGGGAAGCAAACCAAAAATCCTCACAAAGCTACAAACTCAATCTCTACTTCTAAAACTTTGGAACTGATGCACATGGATTTAGTTGGTCCAATTCAAGTTACTAGTTTAGGAGGAAAGAAATATATTCTTGTCTTAGTGGATGATTTCTCACGTTTTACTTGGGTCATATTTTTGCATGATAAGACAGAAGCCCTTAATTCCTTTATGTCTCATACAAGCTGATCATGAATGAAAAACATGAAACTAATTCTTGCATCACAAGACTTAGGACATACCATGGAACGGAATTTGAAAATCAAGCTTTCTCTTATTTTTGTTATGAAAAGGAATAAAACATGAATTTTCTGCTCCAATCACTCCTCAACAAAATGGGTTAGTTAAAAGGAAAAATAGAGTCCTTCTTGACATGGCTCGTGTCTTGTTGAAAAGTGCCAAATTGACAGATCATTTTTGGGCTGAAGCCATTAGTACTGCATGCTATACATCTAACTGTGTATTTTTCAGGCCACATACCAAGAGCACTCCCTATGAAATTTGGAAAGGGAAGAAACCAAATATCAAGCACTTATGGACTTTTGGTAGTAAATGCTACATCCACAAAGACATGGAGTCTCATGGAAAATTTGATGTAAGAGGTGATGTTGGAATATTTCTTGGTTATTCTATGAATAGTAAAGCATATAGGGTGTTTAATAGTCGTACTAAAAAAATAATGGAATCAGCTAATGTGGTAATAAATGACTCCTCTATATTGCAGGTTGAAACAAGCCATGAAGATACAGATCTAGAAACTCACGAATTTGTTGATGTTATTGATATTGATTTCAAGGATTGTAATCAGCCTTTCAATCCTGTGATACGCAGACCTAGTGCTAAACAAGTTCAAAAAGATCACTCATTCTCTGACATTATTAGAAATGTTGATGAAAAATTGAGAACTCAAAAACAAGTCTGTGCTGAGGTAACCAATTTATGTTATGTATCCTTAGTCAAACCTAAAAGTGTGACAGATGCTCTTGCAGATAATGATTGGATATTGGCCATGCAAGAGGAGTTAAATCAATTCAAAAGAAATTATGTGTGGTATCTTGTTCCATGTCCTAAAGACTCAAATGTAATTGGTACTAAGTGGATTTTTCAAAATAAGACAGATGAGAAAGGGCAAATTATGCACAACAAGGCTAGACTTGTTGCCCAAGGTTATACTCAAATTGAAGGTTTGGATTTTGATGAGACTTTTGCTCCGGTTGTGCGTTTAGAATCTGTTCGGGTTGTTGCTGTCCATTGAATGCCATCTTCGGTTTAAGCTACATCAAATGGATGTCAAGAGTGCGTTCCTAAATGGTGTTTTACAAGAGGAAGTCTATGTGGAACAACCTACAAGATTTCAAGATCCTATCCATCACAATCATGTATATTGTCTGAAAAAGGCTCTCTATGGACCCAATCAAGCCCCGAGAGCATGGTATGATCGACTGTCCACTATCTTCTTCAAAAATGGTACACTCTTGGTAGCATTGACAAAATAAACAAATGGGATTTAATGGTTGCACAAGTTTATGTGGACAACATTGTTTTTGGATCTTCTTTCGACACTCTTGTCAAAGAATTCCATGAGGTAATACAAACCGAATTTGAGATGAGTATGTTTGGTGAACTAAATTTTTTCCTTGGTTTGCAGGTTCAACAATTCAATGGAGGAATGTTCATATCTCAAACAAAGTATGCCAAAAACCTTGTGTCTAAATTTGGTCTGGAATCTGCCAAGCCCATTCAAAATCCTATGAGCACAAGCACGAAACTTTCTAAGGATTCCCATGGCAAAAGTGTATACCAAAAATTATACAGAAGCATGATTGGCAGTTTGTTATATTTGACTGCTAACAAACCAGACATCTCTTTCAATCCGATCCCAAAGAATCACATCTACTTGTTGTGAAGAGAATTCTTTGCTATGTAAGTGGTACTACAAATTTTGCTGTATGCTACTCATTTAACTCACATGTTGAACTTACAGGTTATTCTGATGCAGATTAGGTAGGAAACATTGATGATAGGAAAAGCACAATTGGAGGATGCTTTTACATAGGCAACAACCTTGTCTCCTGGTCTAGCAAGAAGCAAAATTGCGTCTCTCTTTCCACTGCTGAAGCCGAGTACATAGTTGCTGGAAGTTGTTGTATATAGTTGTTATGGATGAAACAAATGCTCAATGACTATGGCATTTGGCAAGGTAAAATGGTAACGTTTTGTGATAACATGAGTGCAATTAATATCTCTAAAAATCCAGTTCAACACTCTCGCACAAAACACATTGATATTCGTCACCATTTTATTCGTGAATTAGTGGAAGATAATGTGCTCTCACTTGAATTTATCTCTATTGAAAAACAATTAGCTGATATTTTTACCAAACCTCTAGACAATCTTCGGTTTGAAACCCTTAAACAGTTTTTCGGTATCTGTGCTCTAGATTAATTCGGTGTCTACTGCATGTCAAAGCCTCTTCCATGTTTTATGATATTTAAATTACTTTCTGTTTCTATAAATCTGTCCAGCTCGTGCAAGGAATGTTAAGTCGTATCAATCCTGTAATCTTTTGAACGTATTTGATGATCTTAGATTTGGCTCTAGCACTGCATTATCTTGAGAACACACACTCTCAGCTTCACACACAGGTTTCCATTGTCTTGGTGCATGATAGACTTCATTAAATGATCTATGCATCTAGTTTTTTTACAATTGCACACACACACTGGTTTCTTTGAAGTACCTTGAATGTCTCCTCTCTTGCACTTGTCTCTCTTTGGATTGCCATCACACTATTGTACATAAGCTCTTAATTTGTTTATAAAAAAAAAGGTAGTGACTTCTCATTGCTTAGTAACGGGCCTCTTGTCTAACCAACATCGAGGTTCGAGTCAACAGGCTGTGATCGTTTGCTGTCCTTGCTTGTCTTTAGAGCCTTCATGATTCGGATTAGTATTTCCTCAAGGGTGCCTCATCACCTAGTTCCTTACAATCATTTGACTTGAGCACACTGATTGACCATCCGCCACATGGATCATGTCAAAAGCTCAGTAAAGTGAGCCACCAAATAAGTACACAAAATAAAAATAAAATACATTCAAATCACAAATAAATTGATCATCATATACGTACTATGCACTCAGTGGATGTGCTATCTTAGGTGGGATCAGTCTTCGGTGGACATATTCTTTGTGCTTAAGTGAAAAGAGTTCACTTCACACCTTTGCTTCTTGATGGTAGACTCATTTCGTGCCTTTTATCTTTCACCATGACTATGGTATGCCTCCTCTTTTATCAGTGAGTTTGTGCATCTCGTGTGGTGTCTTGCTTTTGTCCCTGCCACGCCTTGCTTCACATGCGTTTAAGACAGTGATGGGTCTGTTGCTAGTTTCTCTCCTCACTCACAAGCTTGGCATGTTTATGAATGGAAATTAATTATTTCCTCAAGAGAGTTTTGAGTCTACATCTACAGTTTGCTTTATGTATTGTTTGTTTTGTTTTTTATCCTTGTTCTTTTGTTCGCTATTTTTTTTCTTTTAGATTACCAGTTATATTTCGTTTTTTTTTCATTAAAAAAAATTTAAAACATAAAACAAAACAAAAAAAAACCAAAAAAAAACCATACGATGCATTTCACGCTGGTTGTTTAAGTTGTGCAGTCTAGGTTGTCTTCTTCCTATCCAATTCGAACCTCAGCACCCATTGCCGCCACCCAAAGGTTCTTGTCTTCCACTACTCATCGCATCTTACCTCCATCACCTCACTATGGTTACCGCTCGAAGCCGTCGGCCTTCCTCTTCCACCGCCCTTGACCACAGCCCTTCTCGCTTCGTGCGTCGTCGATCTACTGTTGATCCTTCTTCAGTCGTCATGCCTGATGCTTCCCTTTCATGATCTTCCTCTTCACGGTGCTCACATTCTAGCACAAATTCTCGTGCTTCCCCCCGTCCGCCGATCTCACACTTCGTGTCTCCCGCGTGCTCTCACCGCTACACTACTGTGGTCTGTCATTGTCACCTACTAATTAAAGAGGACTTTGATCTCTCTAGCTTTGGCTTCAAATTCGTAAACTTTCTCACACGGCATCGTATCTTGTAGTTGGTTCGTGGTTTGCCGCTACCCAACTTCCAGATTGTTCGTGAATTTTATGCTAATTTTCCCGATGTCTCCGCTGCCTCTACTGCTCTGTTCGGACTTGCTGTGCATGAGCGTGGGATTTCTATTCCACTCAGTTTCCACTTTATTTCGGCTGCCCTTGGTCTGGCTCCTATTCGCTCTGGCAATTCTTGTGAGCCGGTTCCATATTTTCTTCCCTGTCATCGGCTAGTGAATCGACTCTATGTGTCTACACCCGAGGTGCTCCCTACCGAGCTCTCATGTGGTATGATGTCTCAGTGGACCCATACTCTATATATGCTTGTGCGCAACTATGTGAATCCCACTTCCCAACATAGGAAAGTGAGTTGGAAAACTGCTCATATATTGTCTTCTAGCTTGTGATTGAGCAATCTGCCAGTGTTGAGTTCTATATCCGTGAAAGCCTCATTGCAAGTGGTGCTGCAAATGCCACTGTTCCGATAGCAAGTCTTGTTCTACCTCGGATTATCATAGCTTTGGCTGCTCATGCTAGTGTCCATGCACTGTTTACAGATGATATTGGCTATTCTGACACCATCAAAGTCAACAATCAGGTTACTTTACATCTCAGCGATGCTCACTGTACTTCTGGTGGGTTCTCCATCGAGCAACGAGCCCTTTTGGATTTGCTCTCTACATCCCATCAAGTGATGCATGCACTTCTTCATTGCATCTGGGATCGTCTTGACACCTATGATGAGCTGTTGCTGACATTGGCTGGGCACATTCAGCCACCTGATCCTCCTCATCTTACTCGGGCTCACAGCCTCTAAGGTTCATTTATTCCGCTTCTGGATTTGTTCATTTTTGTAGTTATCTCTGTGTCCCTTTGGATTTCCTACACAAAAAGGGGGAGAATATTTTGTGTTACATATGGGATTTAGGGGGAGTAATTTGACTATCGAAAGTAGAAACATGATATTTAGGGGGAGATAACTTTCTGTTTTGTCTATGGGATCAGAACTAGTAGTAAATTGATTAACCTCCTTACATATGAAGGATTGTTGTTTAATTGTGCCAAGTTGTGTTTCTTATTGTTTCAATTCTATTATGCTTCACTGGTAGTCTATTTGTTGGTGTGCAGAAGTTACAAGAACTGGATATTTGTTTGGCAAAGTAAACGTGTCTGAAATGTAATCTAGGATTTTGTCTAGGACATCCCAAAGGGGGAGATTGTTAGTACGAAAATTGTATTGCCAGTTCCTAGACTCTAGCATAGGTTGAAAATTAGTGTGTGAAGAATTGTTTACTGGACATTTTGGCACAACACATTCAATCTCATACTTCCAAGGCATAACTTAACCAATATGAGAAACTTGACTTTAGGTAAATCATGACATAATCATGTATTCACAATAGGATTTATAGTTGATGTTATATTCAATGTCATTGTGATTTAAGTTAAAATGTTAGCGTTTCCTATAGTGACGTGCACCATGCTCATCTCCTAATTAACTTGTTTTAGGAGATGATTGTTTCTTCATAAAAGTGGTTGTTTGGTGTCATCACTTAAGACTCCATATTGAATCACAATTCATATTCATAATTAGATAGTACTTTGTCTTCTGTTTGGTGTCTAAATGAAGAGACCATATTGGATTAGGTTTGAAAGTCAAAGTTGGAGACAATTAGTGGTCACTTGGGTTCCTCTCTTTTGAGAGAAAACCTGCCTTGAGTAAAACGTTGGGTTTTCCCTTTCAAACTCTTTGAGCTTTCAACGATTGGTTTTTTAGCATATTGAATTTTGAAGAGAAAGCTACTGTGCATATTTTTTAGATAAGTCATCAAGTGTTCCTTGTTTGCTTAGTGATTTATCAAATCCTTTTATCATTCATATTGCATTCATATGCATATCGGTGGCTCATGCAGTTGAGGGCACCGAGACTGTTGTGGCGTTTATCCTCTGGCGAGTTTAAAGCAATCGCGGCCAGTATTGCGTTCAACATAAAGAGTGTCGAAGATCATCCCGTGATAGAAGTTGAGTTTTGAAGAAGTCGATAAACTTTATCTAGATTGTGTATAGGATAAGTGTGTGAGTACTTCTTGTAATTTTGATTATATAGTGGATTTGTTCTGGACTAAGAAGTCCCGTGAATGTTCCCTAGAGGTGGGGTTTTACCACGTAAAATAAATATATGCGTGTTCTTTTACTTTAAGCTCTGCACATTTCAAGATTGATAAGCCATATCAATCCTGCTTCAAAATCTATTTTTATTTACTGCTAATAATCTCGAATTAGCCAATTTACCCCTCTTTAGGCATTTTTAGTCATCCTACAGGTAATTTTAGAAGACTTGACCAAGTAGGCTTTGAACCTTGGCTTTTGGGAATTCCATACCTTATGGCCTGATTAGTTACTACTTTCTAAAATATACATTTCATTTAACTTGGTATAACCTGCCAGTCAATCTGCTACATGGCTAGGCTCTCCCTAATGAAGTTTTTCTCCAATGGAAATGCTCTAATTACCTTTTTGGGTATCCTAAAGAGTATAAGAGTTATGGACACCACATTTCTATTGGACGATGAAAAACAAAAAAACAAAAAAAGTATCAATATGCAACGGATAGGAATACCAAATTCTCAATAACAAAAAAATAATAATTTATGTCCCTTGAATAAAGTATCTAATACCCAACTCCCTCAACTTAGGCTAGAATTATTACATGTTCAACAAGTTCGAGCACATACGTAGTTAATATTACTTACATTGGTGCGTATACATGTACTTAGACATTTTACTCTAACTCAGGAATTGCTTCTAACTCAAGGCGATTTGCTGGGATGCTTGCATGTGTTGTTGTAGGACCTGCAGAGACAAAAGGATTAGGAGGCATGGCCAAGTTATCTCCTCCTTCTAACATATGAACCACTATTTGCATAGACGGACGATCCACCGGGTGCCACTGGATGCACCAGAGCCCTACAATTGCAAGTGTCTTCGGGATTTTACCATCTCCGTCATCTCCAATATGGATTCGTAGGTCATCTCCTCCTTCTAGAAGATTATAGATCCATTCTGGGTAGTAAATTTCATTTGCGTCCTTTGTGCTTGAACCAATATTCTTCCTTCCTCCTACCATCTCTAGCAACAACATTCCAAAACTATAGACATCTGACTTGTAAGACACATTTCCGAAATTCCTAGAGAACACTTCAGGTGCAATGTATCCCATGGTGCCTCTAGCTGTAGTCATTGACACCATACTTTGATCCTTGGAACATAATTTGGCCAAACCAAAATCAGAAATTTTTGGAGTGAAGTTGTGGTCTAGCAAAACATTATGGGGTTTGATATCAAAATGGAGGATTCTTTGATCACATCCCTGGTGAAGATATTCAATTCCTTTGGCTATGCCTACAGCAATATCATGCAACTTTTCCCAACCAAGGAAACTGTTCTTACTATCCGCTGATGAAATGAAATCCTGCAGCGAACCATTGGGGAAGAACTCATAAACAAGAGCTCGTCTAAATCCATCAGCACAAAAGCCAACCAAGCGAACTACGTTGACGTGGTGGATATGGCCCATCATTCCCACTTCGTTTACGAACTCTTCCCCATTTCCCTTAGAATTGTTAAGTACTTTCACAGCAACAAAGAATTCAGAAGAAAGCTTTCCTTTAAAAACAGTTCCATAGGCTCCTTGGCCCAACTTGTCCTTGAACTGATTTGTGATCCTCTTAATATCTGCGTATGAATATCTGCTTGGCTTGAGAGCTTTGTAATCCTCTAAAAACCTTTCGATTTTCAGTTGATTCTCTTTTTCCTTTTGATCAGCGCTATAGACACGATACACTGCAATGACCAGCACTAAAAGAAGGGATGAACCCAGCGTTGCACCTGCAAGTAAATACAATTCTTGAGCAAACACATATCTTCCAACGTCTTCTCGACATGAAACAAAGCAAAAGAAAAGACCAGTCTTAGATAACTCACCCGTTGCCACAAATTCCATTGTTTTGCCTATAAAACATAAACATAATTGGAAAAATCAGACTGTCATGTTTCTGAAAATGACCCTGAACCAGCAAGCAGATATGATTTACTTTGGAAAACTCTACAAAATTGAGCAGGATATATGTGAAACAAATCCTTACTTGCTTTCCTCAAGTGAATACATTCAACTTCACTTTTGTTGCCATTATTGTTCAATCTACACCTCTTGCCCTCTGCTTCACATTCGGTACAATTTGGTTCAGACCATTTGAAGCGAAGCATAGAGAGGTCACCTCCAACCCAATTCCCAAATGGAACTGATAAAACATCATACATCCTTGTACAAGACTGTAGGGCAGGGAAGTGCTGAAATAATTCAAAAAAAGAAGAAACGCCATAAACTCTGTAGCCAGGCCTGCTGCTGAGGCAGGGTACTTGATACGCATATATATCTCTTTCAGCAAGTGTAGGACAAAGGAAAAAGTAACGTTACGTATGTTGGAATCTAATAAGTGGAAGGGGGACACTGGAATGTTTAGGGGTTTCTAAGGGCATTAACAGCAGGCAGCCATCTGGGTTATATACTTCGATTAGCCCACGCTTGTAATCTATGCTTTTGACAAAGAATTTTACTAGTGCTACTTGCTCCTCAAGAACCTTCTCCTGTCTACCACTGCATTCAAGGCCAGGATCACCACAACGATGTTCAAGGTGGAACGGGAAATGGATAGCCAGGCCATGATCATCACTGCACTTAGATTCTGCGCACGTATCTTGTCCTGCTCCAACCGCTTTGACGAAAACCATATACAATATGCAAAGGCAAGAGATGAGGAATTGCTGCATTTCTGAGTGGCACTGGATTTTTTCCTGAGCAGATGTATTGGATAGATATGTCGAGTACAGCAATGAATTGACCTTGTTCAATCGACCACTCACAAGAAATCGGAAACAAGCTTGGCGCTTTTACAGTAAATAAATGAATTTACAAACCAAGGCCAAAACTTTGACCAAAACAGAAGGAAAACCAAACACAAGAAGTCAACAAAACCCGGCTGAAATGATTTTGCAATCAACTTTGTCGACCGTTTGACTGACTCTCTAACGTCATGGCTTACCTAGGCTTCTAATAATTAAATTGCTTGCTTGCTGCATGACTTTTCTTTTGATATTTTTCAAATGTTATCCAATAGGAAATTTGAAAAATTCTTCTGGATAGTGTGCTCATACACACATTTACCATCTCTTATAAGAAACTGTCTAAATATTAAGCTAGTTTGAATGCCAAACAACCCCTCTCTCTGCTCTCTGCTCTCTCTCTCTCTCTCTCTCTCTCTCTCCATGGGAAGCAGGTTCTTGGCCTTGTCTAGGTGGGTTTTGATAGTAGCACTTCTTCTTGTTGGGTTATCCGGCGAAACTTGTAACGCGAAAGACAACAGTACTAAGTGTACCTCTTCCTGCGGCAATATCCACAACATAAGCTATCCTTTCCGACTAAAACATGATCCAAAGCACTGCGGCAATGTAATGTATACTCTGTCCTGTGAGAACAACATTACACTTGTTGTAGACCTACCTCCTTCAGGAAAATACTATGTCCAGGCAATCAACTACCACAACCAAACAATCCGACTCGTAGATCCTGGCCTCCAGAACAACAATTGCTCCTCCATGCCTCAAAATTTTCCACCTTTTTTAAGAGATCCATATAGTGCATATAATATGTCAGGTTATCTGCTTTCGACACCTGTATTTTACATCAAGTGTTCGAATCCAGTGAATTCTTCTATGTACGTGGACACTGCTCCATGCTTGCATATAAATGCTTCTTTGGTCCAACAAAAGACGTACAGTTATGTGAAGGTTGGGTCTATGGAAGTGGGGGATTTGAATGAGGGTTGCAGTGCAGAGTGGGTGACTTTGGCGCTCTTCAACTACTCTAAGGGCTACAGTACCTCTTATGAATCCATACACAGTGCCCTCATGTATGGCTTTGAGCTTGGAGTAGGTGGGCCTGATGAAATATGCCAAGGCCATCATGGAGTGTAAATTATAAATGTTTTCCACACACCATCCCAGGTACGTGAATTCTAGGCCATGGCTTTTGACTATGTCTAATTTGTTGCACTTTTAGTTTATGATAGTGCATAGAAGGAAGTAAGGAGAATGCAGACTTCTCTTAACGTTCTCTAGTCAGACTTGTAATATCAGGAAAATACTTGTGTTGTCAAGTCATGAATCTAAATTACACATTCAAAAAAGAATAAACATGACAAATGATTCTTATTCGCAGATTTGGCAATGTATCAAATAAGTGTCATACATTCTGGCAAGAGCACGATTTACTTTAAACTAAAGTACCAAAATTGAAGTTCTTAGTTAGATTTAATTCGGCTTTTCAACTTTACCACTTAAGATAGAAACAAACTGAAATTTCTGAATTTATGCATCTTTTACTCCTGAACTTAAATTTTAAAAATTTTCAATTGACAAAAGATACCTGATGCACCTCACCCAACAAGAAAAATTTGTCAACAACCATCAACATATAATAAATTAACACCTCATACTCCACGATCAACATATATAAATTAACACGTCAGACTACGCGGGTAAACAAAGGTGACTTTGGTTTGGGAGTTTCGTCGAACATCTACAATGCAAGCCACTGTAAGCAGGACAATAAAGAAAGTACCAGATCCAAACCCCCATCACCAAACTACCCACACCTTTGAATCAACACCCGTCTCCCAATATCCAATCCACATACTCACCAATCTCTTTGAGATGTAAGTTTGTTTTTTCAATTTTTTGATTGATTTTGATTAGTTACCACAGTGGGGGTTTGGATGGGGAGATTAATCTTGGGTGGGTTGGGGTGATGGGGTGAGGTATTGGATGGGGGTGGCTTCGATGGTGGTTGGAAGGATATTGCAGTTTAACTGGGGGTGGGGACTCTGGTGAAACTAGTGTCGAGTGTAGAGGAAGTTGGGTGGTTGAAGAATGGTTGGGTATGATTTGGTTTTGTGGGTTGATTTTTGATATGATTCTTTTGATTACTTGGTTCGGTTTTCTGATTTTATTTCTTGGAATTTGATTTCCTTCGTTTGATTTGATACGTTGGGCGAAGAACCAGAAGAAGGCAGGGTGTTGGGATGGTGGTGGCTAGGCTTTAGGTGTCTAGTTTCCTAGGTTTTTCTACTATATTATTTTAATCTTATTATTTAATATTTTGACCAGAAATTGTTGGCCTCTCCGGAATGCAGAAAAAGTGAGATAAAATGAGTTTGGAAAGTGAGATTCAAATACACTTTCAATGCATATCAATCCAATCTCATCCGGTAACACACCTTCATCTGACACCTATCTTTTAAAAAAAAATTAGATAAAAAACCCTAAATTAAGAATTCTTACATCCAGAGGCGGACGCACGTTGGGACAAGAGGGTCTAACGACCCCTTGGAATGCCTGAAATTTGGTTGTGGACTCCATGGACGACCCCTTGGACAGCTGCGGAGCGACCCCTTGTGTGCACACCAGGTGCTCGATGAAAGTCCCAGCTTGTCTCTGAGTCTGTGATGGCTCTGTTCCACGAAGCAGAGACCGAACGCACCAGAGCTTGGTAGGGGTAGGGTAGTGGAGCCTCCTTTAATAAGGTTTTCTGAGTTGCAGAGGAGGCACTGTGTGCCTGGCAAAGAAGATGATGTTTGGCTTGTCTCGGTGCCCGTGCACTTATAAACGAAACACACCGTTTTGTGATTAGCCTCCTTTAGTGAAACGGTGGGTTTAGTGTTCAACATTTGGCTGCCACTTGTCATTGTCGATGGGTTTAATGGGCTAGTTTTTGTTTTATCGGTTTTATGAGGTTTGGCTTCATGGTAATGGGTGAATTATTTATAAACTTTATCCTATGGGCCAATATAATATAATAGAAGATTATCTAACAAACAAAAAACTATTTTAACAGTCAATATAAATATATAGAAATTTATAAAAATTTAAGTAATGTTTTAATTCGATAATGCAACAATAATTGAGGAATTTAAAACTTCTAATCTAACCTTTGCATGATAAAATTTTAAATTCAAATAGTGTTAATTTGTTTTGTATTGCATTTACTTGTGATTTTTATTTTTTTAGAAAAACAAAGCAACATCAGCTCTTGAAATAATAGATAAGAAAAAGGAAAAACTCTGTAAAAAAATTTTTTTTGGAACATTTACACTATGACCCCTTGGGTTACGGATCCTGCATCCGTCCACTGCTTACATCATTAGTCACTACACACCCTCAAGTTAAACTCTGCTTTTTGGTATAGCAGTTGGCTTGGGGCTTATGTTTTGCTTACATAGAGCCAGGTTCATTCTACTGGACACCGTATGTCATTGGGACAACAAATAAAGAGTTTCTTTAAAGAAAATCATAGCCTTCTAAATACACAGGGGGTTGAAAAATGGCCCACATGACATCAATCTAATATCCATATAAGAGCACTTCTATCCATGATGCCTTGGCAAATGATAAAGGTATTAAGGATAGACACTAATCACGTGAATCGGAATAGTGATTGTCTATCCCGTTTTATTTTGCTTTTCCACCCAATTGTCATGGCAAATAAATGCAAACTATTTTCAGACATAGAGGGGGTAAATGGTGTGTGTACCGATTCATAACTTTAAGGTTGTTTTTGCCAATTTTTAAAAGACATAGACAAATTGTACATATACCAAACCACAAGAATGGAAAATGTAATTGATCCTTAAGTTTAAAGACTTGGTGTGCTAATATGTTATCTTCTTCTTTGTTCGTGTAGGTTTCTTTCAATTTCTATGCGAGGCTATTTACGGTAAAGGCTCTCTCTTTATCTGGCTATATGTTATTTTTATTTTTTTAGTGTGAAATGACCTACAAAAGGAGCTTGTTACGGATTGAAGATACTTTTAATAACATTGAATGAGATTCAGAATAGACCAAATATAATAAATGTTTCCACATTTCTTAGATTAAAAAAATTGGGAAATGAATTGAAATTTCAAAAATTATTCAACCAAATAGTAGTTGGAAGCATGCAGTATTGTTTTTACTTTTTTTTTTTTTTTTTTTTTGTTTGTTGTTTTCTTTTTGAACTTATGAAATCCCATGTTCAAATACACTTTAGGCTTGATTCCACTAGGAAATGTAATACTATATCAAAACCCTCAATTAAAAAAGTTTAAAATAAGATGTAATTCTCTTTTTAAATTGTATGGTAATATAAACAGTTATCTTGTTAGATTTTGAATTCCAACATAAATTTGACTCTTTCAGAAGTGTCCATATTCACAATTTAACAAACATAAATATTTGTTCACAATAGAACATTGCTCAAAATAAGACATACCAAAACAATTTCTCCATGAGCAATGAGCAGTTTGTGGCTGGAATAGAGGTATTTCAAATTGTAATGATGGACGTGCTAATGTTGTTTCTTTTTTGGTCACTGTAGTTTTCTTTTCTCGTGGACGCGTGTACATTGGTAAGGACTTTCTCCCCAAAAGTTTCTTTTATTTCTTTTTTCTTTTTCTCCCTTTTTTTCTTGTCAATTACATCACGACAATTGTGAGTGGATACTAATGAACTTGTGATAAATAAAAAAAAAGGTCAATTCAAACTTAGTCAAGTCTTTGTTTTTACTTACATTTGTTGTTGTATTTCTTGCAGATAATCCTATGGTTTCGGGCCATCAGCATCAGTAAGATCTTGTATTCTTGCATATAATCAATGCTTTGATTTTGTTCACTTTTCGAAAACCTATAGTCAAGACTTGATTTTGTCCCCACTTTTGCTATGTTTCTTGCAGGACGTGGATGGGTGCCACTCATTTGCTTCGGTAAGAGCTGTATATATTACCCTTGAATGACATCAAAGAATACATATTTCTGAAACAAAACAACAAGAAAAATGTTGAAAGCATTAGTTGATCTAACCAATAAATTTGTTTCTCATGATTCTTTTGGTGATATTATCTCGTCAGGTTTATTTTTATCAGGAAGACTAATTTTCGGAGTTCCATGTCTAATTGCGTTCGTGATCTATAAATGGCGAAGAAGACATTTGTCAAGTTATAGCATCATAGAAGATTTTCTCCAAAGTGACAACAATTTCTTGCCAATAAGGTACTCTTACTCAGAAATTAAAAAGATGACTGGTAAATTTAAGGACAAGTTAGGTGAAGGTGGCTATGGCTCTGTATTCAAAGGAAAGTTGCGCAGTGGCCGTTTTGTAGCAATTAAACTCTGGGCAAGCCCAAAGGTAATGGGCAAGACTTCACAAGTGAGGTAGCTACCATTGGAAGGATTCACCATGTTAATGTGGTGCAACTTGTTGGTTATTGTGTTGAGGGATTAAATCGTGCTCTAGTATATGACTTCATGCCAATAGCTCTCTTGATAAATATATTTATACCAAAGAGGAAAACATGCCCTTTAAGTTGCAAGAAATGTATGAGATTTCTCTCGGAGTGGCTCGAGGGATTGAATATCTGCATCAAGGTTGTGACATGCAAATTCTACATTTTGATATCAAGCCTCATAACATTCTTCTTGATGAGAACTTTAAACCCAAAGATTTCTGACTTCGGGCTTGCGAAATTATATTCCGTAGATAATAGCATTGTCTCTTTGACGGCAGCAAGGGGAACAATGGGCTATATTGCTCCTGAGTTGTTCTACAAAAACATTGGAGGTGTTTCGTACAAAGCTGATGTCTATAGTTTCGGAATGTTGCTCATGGAAATGGCAAGCCGAAGGAAGAATTTCAGTTCAATGGTAGAGCGTTCAAGCCAAACTTACTTCCCATTATGGGCATACGACCAATATAACAAGGGAAATGACTTGGAGATGGCAGATTTTAATGAGGAGGAAAAGAAAATCATAAAAAAGATGGTTATAACTGCATTGTGGTGTATTCAAATGAAGCCAAGTGATCGGCCTTCCATGAACAAAGTCATAGAAATGCTAGGAGGAGATGTTGAATGCCTAAAAATGCCCATCAGACCTTTTCTGTATCCACAGGAGATGCATGCAGGTGATGTTCAAGAAAATTTGAACTCAATGAGGGTTCAACGGGGAGTGTAACATGGACTTGTGTCAGCTAAGGTGATCATCAAATTAGTTAGAAAAATGCAATTTTTTTTTTTTTTTTTTACCTTTCTTATTGAGAGGGGCAATAATATACTAAACTCACATATACTATATTGATGCTAGGACTCAAACCCAGGACCTTACTTGGGAGAGCAATGTTCCAAACCACTACACTAGTGGGTCCTTTGCATGGAATCATTTATTGTTAAACTCTAGCTTCCTACTATTATTTGGAAAATATTAAACAAAATACATCTTTTTTCTTTATCTTTGGGAAAAAACTAACTCACTATAAAAGTTAACGACACAGCGTGACAATTGATTGACTGAAACCTTAGCCTAAAACATGTAACTCTAGAATCCACAAGAAATTGAGAGAACCTTAGGCTTATTTGATAAACTAAAATAAAAACATAGCCCTAACCACAGGTAAAGTATGTTTTAATACTCCTAGAAACCCTAGGAATAACAAAAGAATTAAATAGGAAAATAATAAAGTTTCCAAAAACTGTAAAAATTTAAAACTAAATTTTTTACTAGTAAATGATCTCGGATGCCCAAAAAATCACATACATCATGGCAGAGCGATGAGTTTTACTTGTAAAGTCGTTCTCTTTCGAATCTTCGGGTCATGGGCCCAATTCTCGACTTGAAGCCCAAATCTGCAGCTCAACCCGATTTGTCTTTGTGTGTGCATCGCTCCAGCTCCTCTTCAATTGCTTCCGCCATTTATTCTACATTAGTGCTGATGCAGCGTGACAAATGATCAACTAAAACCTTAGCTTAAAACATGTAACTCTAGAATCCACAAGGAAATATGAGAGAACCTCAGGTTTATTTGATAAACTAGAAATAAAAACATAACCCTAACCACGGGTAAGTATGTTTAAATATCATAGAAATACTAGGAATAACAAAGGAATTAAAATAGGAAAATAAACAAAGTTTCCAAAATTGTAAGAACTTTAAAATTGAATTCGGGCTAGTAAATGATCTCGGATGCCCGAAAAAGCCCATACATCCCGACAAAGCAATGAGTTTATTCATGATGCCACTCTATTCGAATTGAGGGTGTCATGGGCCCAATTCTGAGCTCGGAGCCTCAATCTGCAGCTTACTCGATTTGTCTTTGCACGCCCATCGCTCTAACTCCTCTTAGTTGCTTCCACCATCTGTTCTACACATCGTCCCTTCCACTCCGAAGAACTCGACGTTGAGTTATCATAAGGATTAAATTGGACTTATCATCATGGAACTCATGTAGATCGCAACATTGAAAGTGCTCGATATGCCCATTGAAGAAGGAAGGTCCACGACATAGGTTTTTTTTTTTTTTTTTTTTTTTTTTTTTTTTATGAACTTGTAGGGCCCATACTTCCTAGATTTCAGTTTGCTATATGGGAAATGTTCTCTCCTCAAGTAAACCATCACAGAGTCTTCTTCCTGGAACAACTTCCCACGATGGTGCTTGTCAGCAGCGACCTTAAATTTAGTGTTAGTGCTCTCTAGCTTGTCCTTCACTTCTTCCCTCATAGTCTGAACTTGTTCAGCCATATTTTCAGCAGCTTTTGGGCTCTTGAAAGCGTGACCAGGTCAACCAATGCCTCGGCACCAAAGTGTAAACAATGGCAAAGGGTGATTTTCATGTGGAAGAATGAATAGCACTATTGTAAGTGAACCCCACCTGTGCAATATCCCATTACTTCGGCCTGTCTTTGCAAATGTTCCTAACCATGTTTCCGAGGGTTCTGTTGGTAACCTTAGTCTGACCCTATGTCTGCGGATGAGCAGTGCTATTACGATTCAAGTCCGTACTAAACATCCTCCACAGGTTATCCAAAAGTGGCTAAGGAATTTGGTGTCAAGTTTGACGTAATAGATTTAGGATCACCATGCAACCGCACAACCCCCTTGAAAACAGTTTGACTATGTTGGACGCGTTCACAGTCTTCTTGCAAGCAATAAAATGCTTCATCTTGGAAAACCTGTCAACCACAACAAAACAGATCGACTCCTCGTTGTGTATGAGGGAGTCCCATAACAAAATCCATAGACAAGTCTTGCCAATATCATCAGGAACAGGGAAAGGCATATGAAGACTAGTATTTGGTACTGTCCTTTAGATACCTGACAACTATAGCATTTACGCACAATAGTGCTGACATCTCACTTCAAGTGTGGCAAAAAATAATGCCTCTCCATACTGGCAATGGTTTTTTATCACGGCCCAGATGGCAACTCAATCCACCCCCTTGCAAATTCTGAATCAGTTTCTCCTTAAAGAAGAAATAGGAGTGCACCATGGTTGCCTTAAATAAATACCCATTGTTACATGATAATCTGTCATCGGCTCATTGCGCACAAGCTTAGCCTATGTGTCCTGAAAATCCTCATCAGTCTCGTACAGTTCCTTTAGAAATTCCAAACACACAACTTCTTGAACCAAAATAACAAGCAAAGTGCTGATGACTCAGTGCATCTGCTACACGGTTAAGAACTCCATATTTATGTTTAATAACAAATGGAATATTAGCAGAAAGTAGCCCACTAACATGCATCTTATTCACGCTTTTCTGCACCAGATAAGGTTCCGCTGTTTCAAGGCTTGAACCACTACATAAAACTCATAGTCAAAATGCTCCATTTTTGCGTGCTTCATGAGATTTCTAAGGAAAATGCAACGATCTCTTCTCTTGAGGCAAAATAGTCCTATACCCACTCACTTGCATCACATTTCGCGACCTTGATTATCTTCTCAAAAGTGGACAGCTAGACCGTGATTGCTCAACTTTTCTTTAATAGGGCACCGCTTTGGTCTTGCTCTTCACCCCAAATTATTTTCCAATTCGGACTTATAATTGGTGCGGTTAGGGTTACTGGAAGTGGTGAAAAAGCGCCTGTAAAAAGGTTGCAAGCATGAAAAATCTCCATACTGGCTGTTTTCGGATAGCCACCCGAATGGCTCGCCCTTATCTTCATCCACGGAACCATATGCATTAACAACAGAACCTAGAAAATAAACTTTGAATGCAAAATCACCCTTTTTAAGGTTAATTAAATAGCTCTATTCTCTTGCAAAAACTTTCAAAAACTTCCTTCAAAGTATCAAGGTTATTCCTGGTTTTGTTTTGCTGTAAATCAAAATGTCATCAAAATAAACTACAACAAATGAACCAATAAAAGAGAGCAATACCTAATTAAGAAGTCTCATAATGTGCTCAGTGTGGTTGGACCACCCAACCTTCCACCAACCAGTTGTACAATCCATCCTGGTCTTACAAAAGCTGTTTTCCACTCATCTCCCGGTTTAAATCCAATTTGGCGATACCCACTCCTCACATTCGGAAAACCTTAGAGCCCGCCACAACATCCAACATGTCTTCAGGCGTGGATTGGAAATCTTTACTGCGGGGATTTTTGTTTGATTGCACTCTACAAACACATGCGCCATGTAACTGTCCTTCTTCGGTACAACAACACTGGAACTTCACACGGACTCATACTCTCTCGAAACTAACACCTTTTAGCAAAATCTTCTATTTCTTTTTTTTTTCTTTTTTTTTTTTTTTTGAGAAATCTCATTCTCCTTAGTCTCATATCGATACTGGGGTAATTATGAAGACAGCTTCAAGCACACCAAATCAATTTGTATGTTGATATTTCTCATCAGGGGTAGCTTCATTAGGTTAAATCATCTAAATCAACTCCTTGCAATCAATTAAAATTTCTTTTCTTACCTCTCAGGGCAAGACAACCCTCTCAGCAAGGCATCCAACAAAACCTCATGCCATACACAAAGGGGTCAAAAAAAAAAAAAAAAAAAAAAAAAAAAAAAAAAAAAAAAAAAAAAAAAAAAAAAAAAAAAAAAAAAAAAAAAAAAAAAAAAAAAAAAAAAAAAAAAAAAAAAAAAAAAAAAAAAAAAAAAAAAAAAAAAAAAAAAAAAAAAAAAAAAAAAAAAAAAAAAAAAAAAAAAAAAAAAAAAAAAAAAAAAAAAAAAAAAAAAAAAAAAAAAAAAAAAAAAAAAAAAAAAAAAAAAAAAAAAAAAAAAAAAAAAAAAAAAAAAAAAAAAAAAAAAAAAAAAAAAAAAAAAAAAAAAAAAAAAAAAAAAAAAAAAAAAAAAAAAAAAAAAAAAAAAAAAAAAAAAAAAAAAAAAAAAAAAAAAAAAAAAAAAAAAAAAAAAAAAAAAAAAAAAAAAATCATTGACGATGAGCTTCCAAGAGGAGAAGAAATATCACCTGCACTTCTGAACGCAATCGAAGAGTCAAAGATTTCTGTCATTGTATTTTCAGAAAACTATGCATCTTCAAGTTGGTGCTTGGATGAACTTGTTAAGATCCTTGAATATAAAAAATCAAAGCAACAACTTGTTATGCCAATTTTCTACAAGGTGGATCCCTCAGATGTACGAAATCAAAGAAGTAGTTTTGGTGATGCACTTGCTGACCATGAACGCAAATTCAAAGATGACATGGAGAAAGTACTTGAATGGAGAAGAGCTCTTACGGAAGCAGCAAATTTGTCTGGGTTGCATTTCAAGGAGGGCGGGTACATAATTTCTAATAATTATTGCATAACATAATTCCGTTATATATATACATATAGGACATAATTTCTAATATGGACTGTTTGATTAACAATGATTGGACAGTTAGATCCACTTTAAATATTGATATCTTGTTGCTGGTGGTACTAGGAGGGTTTAGAATCTGATGGATCGAGAATCAGACGTTTGTAGGTCCCAAATCAATGATTCTCAGTGATGTGATCAGATGGTCATTATATTTGGCGATCAATAAAAATCGGACCGTTAGACCGTCCTCCACTTTTAGTATCCCCTTGTGGGTGTTTTCTAGGATTGTGTATGAACTTTTAAGTCAAGAATCAGAGTCCGATTCTCGTTGTCGTGTTCCGATCGTGCGATCTACAAAGATTCGACTGTTGGATTATGGCCAAATTGATTGGATGCACTTTTGAGATTCATTTTGGCCTAGTGCAACTTTTGGATCGGAAATATGACGTTAAGAACCCGAGTCAGTTTTCGAAGGTGTCATGATGTGGGGCCCATTCAACCTCAATTAGTGTAAATGTCCGACCCACCCTACCCTCTTAACTCTCTCCATAAAATCTGATGGGTTTCTTTGTTTACTTTGTTTTCACTTCCATCAACTGATTTAAAACCTTGTAATTTTGTTCCTTGAATTACTATGATCTCAGATGGAGAGTCATTTGATCCATCTACTAGTTTGAGTCCAAATGGAGGCACATTTTCTCCGACTATGACTGTGAGCCCCAAAGAAGACAGAACTTTGAATGAAAATAATTAAAAATTAAAAGAAAAACAATAAAATCTCTCCCATGATCACCATGTCGGCAATCTTCCCATCGCCCCACCCAACCAACCCCATCCTTCCTTCTCCCATTACCCGACCACACCCAAACTGGCAGCAACCCTCAAACTCAATCAATTTCAACCTAACGTTAGAGCTGGTTGGGCCAGGCTTTGGCTCATCGATCCTTGGGCTACCCAATTTGGTACGTGGGCTGCAGGCCGAATGATGATCCATATGGATGTAGTGAGTTTAGTTACATACTTTTCTTAAGGTTATTGGCGCGTTTAGTGGTCACTGAGGATTTATGAAAAGGCTTTGAAATGTTAAAGAGGGGAATTATGAAGTGAACTAAGTATACTTCCCCGATTCAGCAATTCTGGTAAGTTCAAAGTTTGTGGGAATGTGTTTCATACAAGTGTGTGATAAGCATATCCCTCCCTCTACTTTTGAGAATGTATTTCACACAAGTGTATGGCTAAAACATTTCTCGCCCTACTTTTGTGAATGTATTTCAAACAAGCGTATGACCATCAGATCTTCGCTCTGCTTGTGTGAATGTTTTTTCACACAAGTTGATGACCTATTTCACACAAGTGTATGACCAACATATTCTTTGCTATGCTGAGTGAACGTGTTTTACACAAATGTATGACCGGCAGGTTCCTTGAAGGGAATTTCTATTGTAGGGATTTCTAAAATCCTAAGAAGCTATGAGAGAATAAACCATCTACCATATGCATATCTAATATGAAATCAAATAAAACAAAAGTAAGGAAATAACTAGAGGTTCAGACAAGTCTCATCTTAGGTCCTAATCTTTATAAGTTTATGAAAGTATGACCAATGACTCTCTAATACAAATATTGTATGAAGGATTAAGAACATATACCCTTTGAGCAAATCCTGAAACCAAGGATGGTGTTCAAGTAGAGTGAATGGTCCCTTAGTTGTTGACTCTCCACTTTGTTCTCCAAATAGGCACAATGAAGTTATGTTTTCCCAAAGTATCTTCACCAAGGTAGAATAAGAATAGAAGAATGAGGAACCAAGAGAAGAAATGGGTGCTAGCCTTTTCTTTTCTATAGTGGCCGGCCAAGGGACACTAGAGAGGAGGCTTGATGTTTTCCTCTCTTCCTAAATGTCTAACTTGAAACCTTAACGAGGTGTTGTGTAATGGGTATGATTATATACAGACATATTGTCACACATGTGCCACTAAAGACCCATTTGCTGCACCCTCCTCTTCCTTGGCTTTTTTGGGCTATTTTGGTCTACCACATTAATCTTACAATGTGTCTCACTTTGCCTAAGTCTATAAAGTTTGTTTTCCCATAAATGCTTAAGTCATGTAGGACCAAAACTAAAGTTCCATAACTTTATTTAATTCATTGAACTAGTCCAATTAGTTTAATTGATTTAATTACTTAACTAATTAAATCACTAACTTGTCTAACAAACATTAGTCTTAGTCAACCTTTTGTTGACCACGTCAAGTCTCAGGTCAACAATTTGACTTTTGACTTTGACCAAGCCGCAACACGATATTGTTCGCTTTGGGCCCCCCTCTCTGCCTTCACGGTTTTGTTTCTGGGAACTCACAAGCAACTTCCCAGTGGGTCACCCATCTTTAGATTGCTCTAGCCCCAACTCGCTTAACTTCGGAGTTCCCATGACTCCGAAGCCAGTGAGCTCCTAAAAGGCCTCGTGCTAGATTGAGGCGAGTATGTACATATAAGGCACATCACCCCCTCTCCGTTGGTCGATGTGGGATGTTACATACAAGGCTTCCATGGCTACCCAAGCTAAATAAAATTCATTTAGGGAACCTAGTACGTTTGTGATTACAATGCAATTTGGTCATTCTCTATTACAATACTCTATGTCCTATTGTTGGGATATAGTTAACTTGTGTCAAATCCCTAACATGACATCTCAAGGTTATATAATTCAGTTGGATGCAATTGCAAACGTTTTTGTTTCAATTCTCTTCCTGTACTTTGGCCAAAGATTCAAGAATCATATCTTCAGAGTATACTCTCTTTTTACTAAGAGTATAGATTCCTTGTTGTACATTTACATGCCTCTGTGCATATGCTGAGTATCTTGAGGAAGACCTTTAAGTCACGTCCTTTTGATACGACCGTATTGTGCTCTCAAAAAACAAACAACTCACCCATAAGACAACCGTGATGTCTCAGGTCTAAGGACTAATTTGCATTATCATAACTTAGAATTTTTTGTTTGATACTTCTGAGTAGGTCTTCCATACAAGAATTCTTGATTTGATCAGGTTCAATGAACTTCATCTCTATAGAGCACCTACACACCTATCTCAGTGCTTCTAGACGAATGACTTGAGACTAGTCATCCTTTCAATTGAGCAGACATAGTAAGTACTAGTCCTTGCGGATTACCATTGTCCAATTGGTGATCATTGACCAAGAACAGTTTACGATTCAATATTACTATGATGGAAAGGTCTCTTGAATCTAACTTCTTTAGACTTTATTCATGAAAATGTTACTTTGTGTATGTTATGTATATTAATGTAATATCCTTTGATTATTCATTATATTATATTATTAGAATATTCCATTTTAAATTGGCTTCTAAGACATATATCTAACATTCCTGGCTCTGTTGGCCTTTTAATATATATATATATATATTCCAGCAACTTATATCTATTCTTTTCATACGGTTTTCTTTATAATAAATATAAATATATAAATATATGAATACACATTGAATCTATCATGTGCTTTTAAAATGGTAGGTATGAAGCTAAATTTGTCAATAAAGTCGTTGAGGAGATTTCAGTTCAAGTACTCAACAACACATATTTGGATGGGCCAGCATACCCAGTTGGAATAATGCCTTGTGCAACAGATGTCAATAAGCTTTTAAGTGTTGATGGAAACGGTCATTGCATGGTTGGTATATGGGGGAGTCCTGGAATAGGCAAGACAACAATTGCTAAAGCTGTTTATAATTCAATTGCAAACAAGTTTGAAGGTAGCTGTTTCCTGGCAGATGTTAGAGATAAATCAATGTATGGAGGACTAATCAAATTACAAGAGGCTCTTCTTTGTCAAGTCCTAGGAAGCATAAACTTCCAATTGTTCAGTCTTGATAAAGGAATCAATGTTATCAAGAACCGGCTGAGCCGTAAGAGGATTCTCTTAATTCTTGACGATGTGAATCAGTTGGATCAGTTAGAAAAGTTAGCTGGAACTGGTTGGTTTGGTGAGGGAAGTAGAGTTATTGTAACAACAAGAGATAGGGGATTGCTAGCTCGTCATGGAATTGAGTTAATATATGAGGTCAAAAAATTAGCTCATCGAGATGCACTTGAGCTTTTCAGTATGATTTGCTTCAAAAGAAAGGAGCCTCAAGGTGATTATTTGGCACTTGCAAGGCGTGCAATAGCCTATGCTCAACACCTTCCATTAGCTCTGACAATTTTAGGTTCACATCTACGTAATCAAAAATTAGAGTATTGGCATGCTACATTAGGAAGTTATGAAGCTGATCCTTACTTAGATATTCAGAAAATACTTAGAACGAGTTATGATGGATTGAATTATCATGTGCAACAAGTTTTTCTGGACATTGCATGTTTTTTCAAGGGTGAAGATGTGGACTATGTGATACAAGTACTTAAAGGCCCTAAGCTTAACTTTCCTGAGAATTGTATTCGGGTGCTCGTAGAGAATGCCATCATAACTCTTGAATGCAATATGATTTTGATGCACGACTTACTTGAACAAATGGGTAAGAATATTGTTCATGAAGAATCTCCCAATGAGCCGGGAAAACGTAGTAGATTGTGGTTTCATGAGGATGTGCGCGAGGTTCTAGCTGACAATTCTGTAAGTAGAATACACATATGTATCCACACATATTCTTATATTCAGTTGAGAAAAGGCTTCAAGTAACTTATATTTTTCTTATCAAATCTCCTAGAAAGTAAAATTCGAAACAGTACTCATATTTTTATTTGATAAAAGGGCTTGGTTGGTTAATAATATTGCTTTTCAATACTACGTACAGGGGACAAATACACTTAAAGGCATCATAGTAAATTTGCCCAAACCCGATGAGATACCTTTGAATGCAAAATGCTTCTCAGCCATGAAGAACCTTGAATTTTTTATAAACCATAATGCAAGCCTTTCTGGAGATACCGTTGATTATTTCTCCAACAAGTTGAGAGTGATTCACTGGGGCAACTGTCAGTTGCAATATTTGCCATCCAGTTTCCAACCAAAGGATCTTGTCCTATTCAGTATGCCTTGCAGTCGTATCAAACAACTTGGAGACGGGTGTAAGGTACTTTGAAGTTTTTTTTTCATCCATTATCATTTCAAAGAGTTTTTATTATTTATTTATTTTGGAACCTTATCATTTGATTATTTCCTTTTTGTTTTTTGGTCTCACAGAATCTGGCCAAGCTGATGTCCCTAAATTTAACGGACTGTAAATTCCTAGCAAAAATCCCTGACTTGTCTGGAATGGAAAACTTAAAATACTTGACCCTTAGTGGTTGTAAGAGTTTAATTGAGGTCGATTCTTCTATAGGATTTCTTGATAAACTTGCTACATTGGACCTCTCAAGATGCTCCAACCTTGTCAATTTTCCACCAATGATTAGGTTGAAATCTCTAGAGATGTTGATTCTTAGCGGTTGCAAAAGGCTTGAGAATTTCCCAGAAATTGTAGACAAGATGGATTCCCTTAGGGAATTGGAAATCCAAGAAAGTGGCATAAGAGAATTACCTTCATCAATTGCATATCTCAGTGGACTCGAAAGTTTATGGGCATATGGTTGTGAATCCCTTACAAATATATCATCTAGTGTTTATGGTCTTCAAAATTTGAGTGATATTGATCTCAGAGAGTGCCCAAAACTCGGCACATTTCAAAACATGATAAACTCGGAAATTTCGTCCTCATCTGGATCAATGCCACTTTCAGCTAACTCAAATATTTCACAAGACAAGTGTAATCTCTCCAAAAGTGGTCCCTTCCTGAGTCTTAATCTTTCGGGAAACAATTTTGTTGCCCTTCCTGTGTGCATAAGCAAATTGGTCAATTTGGATAGAGTTTACTTGTTTGGTTGCAAGCTGCTTCGAGAAATTCCAGAAGCGCTTCCAGAAAAACTGAATGACCTCAACCTTGCCGATTGCAAATCATTGGAAAAATTTTCAAAGCTGCCAAGTATATTCGAACATAATGAGTTACCGGAGCTTCAGGGTCTAGACTTGACTAATTGCCAAAGACTATGCGCGGACAAGGGTGATTATTACCTGGCAAAGCTGGAAATTTTTTTCAAAATCAGGTTGCTCTCTCTCTCTCTCTCTCTCTATATATATATATATATATATATATATATATTAATATTGTTAAGTTTAATGCCTATATTCTTATCAAATCAAGATTCTTAACTACAAAAAATGCAGCAGGAATCTCAAGCGCTCTCGTTTCGAAATTGTACTTCCTGGCAATGAAGTCCCCAAGTGGTTCAGTTGTTGTGTAGTGCATGAACCTGTTTTAGAGTTCCCCTCTTCCCGGTTTATTAAAATTCCTTGGAACTTGGTGTGGGAGAAGGCAGGATTGGTCGTGTGTGTTGTTTTCGAGTATACCAAAAGGGATGACAGATTTACGGAGAGTGGGGAATATCGTTTGATGTGCGATGTGCACTTTAGGATCAATGGAAGACTTGTGGAATCATTTCCCCATGGTCATTATTTGACAATGACGGAGTCCACTCATGTGTGGTTCACTTACACTCCGTGGAATATATCCTGGGGACAGCCGGATGGAGGGAGCTGCTGTGAAGTAACATTCACATTTGATTGGGTTGGGAGGTCCAAATGCGTCAAATTCCTGAGTTGTGGGGTCCACCTACTATACCCTCAGGATGGTGATGGTAATGGTGATGATACTCAAGTGGATGATCATGAACCCTCAGCTGTCATGACGGTTGATGATGATTGTGGTGAGGACAATGATAATACCAACGTCAATACTGAGCTTTCCTTGTCTTTTGGACGAACAAGTCCTCGAAAGAGGCCTCATGGAGCAGTGACTACTACTAACGACAACGTTGATGATCAAGAGCAACGGCATTCTTTGCCTTTGGATCAACCCGGGAATAATCTTCGGAAGCGGAGGCATATTGATTTTGATATTGCATCCACTTCACACCCCAACCTATGATTTATTTACATGGGTACGTAATTTACTTTCAGCCAAATTAAATACTTGTCTTTCTCAACACAAGTTTTCACTTTATTTATTTATTTTTTTGGGTGTTGTTTTAGGCCACTTCTTATAAACTGGCATTCTCAAGCTCGTGTTGCTTTTTGGATTAGCTGAATGTGCGTTGCAGTATTCGGCAATATACTCCTAGTTTCCAAAATTAATTGGAGGAATAACTTTCTCTTGGATTGAAGGATAAATGAGCTTGTAAATAATAAGACATCCTTTGTGAAGAGTAGCGTTGTTTGTTTGCGAAAATTGACTTTTAGCTTCAAATAATATATGTTGCAAAAGGTACCTAATTATTGAAGTATTGGGAACCGATGCATATGATATAGTCATACGCTTCGGATATTATCCGGTGCTAAAGATTATTTACGACTTAGCTATTTACATAATCGCCAATGCTTAAGTTGTTAACATGTGCCAAAAGAGCGTTGACCTCAGATGCCTGCCTTGCATCCCCATATTTTCAAATGTTTCAAGCTTGGTTTTCTCTTATTCCAAACTCCATAAGGGATATTGTTGATACTCTTGGTTGGTACTCAATTGAGTATGTAATTTGTTGTTTTCAAAGCTTCTGCCCACAGAAAAATTGGTAAGTTTGTGCAACACATCATGCTTCTTATCATATCTTTTAGAGTTATGTTTCTCCTTTCTGCAATTCCATTTTGCTGTGGAGTCCCTGGATTAGTGTATTGAGCAATGATTCCTTCTTGATGTAGAAATCTTGCAAAAGGACCAGGATTCCTCCTAGTCTCATCGAATCTCCCATAAAACTCCCCTCCACTGTCAGACCTTACAACTTTTATCTTTTAGTCTAGTTGGTTTTCCACTTCAGTTTATAAATTTTGAACATATCCAAAGCATTTGATTTTTCTTTGATCAGTTAAACATGTCCAAATCTCGGGTAGTCATCTGTAAAAGTGATGAAATAGTTAAACCCTTAGTGAGTTGGAGTTGGGAATGGTCCACATATGTTTGCACGGATTAATTCCAATACACTTTGACTTCCCACAGCACCTTTCTTTCTTAGGTTGGTCAATTTTTCCTTTGTGCATTCTATACATATATCATCTGCATTATCATGATTCAATGGTGGTAGAACTAATTTTTTGCATAGTGTATTGATTAATTCTTTCCTTTGAAATATGTCCAAGTCTCTTATACTACAGTTTAAATGATAATTCTTTGCATGGTTTGGATTGAACTGAGTTGATTTGCATAGTTTCTTTGCAGTTTAATCGAAACATACCATCCACAATACTTCCTTTTTCCAATTAAACTTTTATTTCTGAAAATAGAACAACCAAAATCATCAAAGTTCAAAGTGAACTTTGACTTTACAAGCCTAGTAACTGAGATGAGATTCTTCCTCATTGAGGGAACATAAACCACACCTTCTAAATCAAAGACAAAACCACAATCTAGCTCAATCCTAACTACTCCAATATTATCTACTTGCACTTTTTCTCCAGTACTTATGAACACCTTCACTTCATCCTTGCTTGGCAGCCTCCTCTTCATGAACCCCCTGCAAAGAATTAGTCACATGAATAGATGCACCACTGTCTACCATGAATCATTAGTAAAATCAACTAAATTAGATTCAAAGCAAACCAAAACTTGATCACTTTTACCTTTAGTTTTCTGTTTGTCCAACTATTTCTTATACCTTTTGCATTCCTTTTTCATATGTCCAGTTTTCTTACAGAAGAAGCATTTCAATCCCATTGGTTTCAGATCTTTTGAACTGTTATTTTCCTTTTCCTTTTCTTTCTCTTTTCCAGCAGCAGTGTCTTTGTTCCTATATTCCTTATTTTTCTTTGACTGCACCAGATTCACCATTTTGGTACCTCTTTCTCTTATTATATTGTGTTCTTATTGAACGCATATGGTGATAAGATCATTCAATGTCCAGCTTTCCTTTTGAGCAATGTAGGTATCTTCGAGCGACGTAAACTCCTTAGGCAGCGAATTCAAAGCAAGATGAACCATCATATCTTCATCTACATTCAATTCCAAATCCTGCAACTTAGTTCCAATGTCAATCAGATTCATGATATGAGCTCTCACACATCCTTGTCCATCATATCTCATATTAATCAACTGATTTATTATAAGGTACTTTTGACAGCTTTCTCAGACTCCTTAAATCTCTGTGCAATAGCTTCATAATATTGTTCAGCATTCTCAAATTTGGGGATGCTACCTCTCACAGATGATGCCATTGACCTTTGCATAATCAACATACTCATATGATTAGCCTTTCCCCACTTGGCATATTTGGTTCTCAATGCTGCAGAAACATCTGCAGCTGGTTCTTGACCTCTAAGCACATAGTCATAATCAAGAAAACCTAAAGAAATCTCTAGATCTTGCTTCCATTTTTGGTAGTTCGATCCAGTCAGTGTTTCAATGTATTGATAGTTTGAAGGATTCACTGTAAACATATAACAAATAATAAATAACTGTCCCCACTAAACTTTACTTAAACATTATCAATTCACGTACACCTGTGGGTTGTGATTTGAACATGTTCCTAAATACTGGATTTTGAGTTTGAATAAACTTCCTACACAAGTAGAACTTCTCATTTGTGGATTGAGAAGTCTTCTTGTTAGTATGTTCAGTCCCTTCATCCATATTGTACCATCACATCTATTATCAATATGTGTACTTACTATTTGTGGATAGAAGTAATCACAAAAGGCTACCAGTTGTGATGCAAGTATAGATCAATCTTTCGATTGAAAATTACTCTTGCAACAATTAAGCAGCTGTGGCTTACTTAATTTACGAAATAATAATTCACAGTCTTTGACCAATATCCTTTCAAGCATGATCGAGCAAATATTCTTGATGCCCTTGATCATACCTTATCACATAAGATATGCAATTGGTTAAAGTCTACATGCTTCATGACTAATGATCAAAATTTTATTTTAGTAGCGATCTTTTATAAATCAGTAGGATAGATTAGAGAGCAAGACCTAGTGCTCTAATACCACATGTAAGTTCTGTCATGTCTTTGAGTCTCAAATAGATCAATCATTGTGAATAAGGATCTTCTTCTCCTACTCAGCACTTTATCTCTATCTCTGGATGGGGTGAGTTTTCTGTTATGAGTGTGTTTTTTCCAATAGGGAAGGGACCTTATTTATAAGCATCTGTTCCAGTATCTTACCCATCAAGGAGTACTCAAACAGATACTGTTTGCTTAGGAATAGGATGTTTTAGTCCATATAGAACTAGGAATTCTTAAGATACTCTTATCTCAATGTAAACTCACTATTTGATTGAGTATCCTACTAGCATTAGGATTAATACTTCCTGATCAATTAAAGGTCCTCCAAACCAGATATGAAGAAGACCACAATTTAGACTAAGACACAGATTTGTCTTACAACTTGTCCTTTGATTGATTTGTGATCCTCTTAATATATACGTAGGAATATCTACTTGGCTTGAAAGCTTTGTAATCCTCTAAAAACTTTTCGATTTTTAATCGATTCTCTTTTTCCTTTTGATCAGCACTATAGATACCATGCACTACAATGACCAATACTAAAAAATGGGTGAACCCAGCATTGCACCTGCAAGTAAATACAATCCATGAGCAAACACATATCTTCCAATATCTTCTAGACTAGACATGTAACTGTAGGGGACTTTTTCTTTCTGTAGCTACAATGGGCTGGGCTACCGTAAAGGGCAGACTGAGAAGACTGTCCCCTTTGTTCGGGTTCGAAAATTAAACCCCAAGAATACTTCGAAAGGGCAACAAAGCCTTAGGAAATATTTTGGCTATCTTCACCAACCTGAATAATGGTAACTTAGAGATGGTTTTGGCATGCTTACAGATAATCCTTTTAGCTCAGCGTGAGTGGCATGTGGCATAGGAGCAAAATCAACATGAGTTTAGCACTAAGAGAGAATTTAGGCTTGCTTTATGAGAAAAGAAAGTATTAAGGTAAGGAAGGAGATGTTTTGTGAGGGATTTGGCTAGGAAAGGGAGAGTTCTTTTGGCAGCTGCTAGAAGAACAAAATGGAGAAGGAGATGAACAGTGCACGAGGTTGCTAGGTTTTTGCAAGTTAGAGAAAAGGTCTGCTCTCTGAATCTGACTTGCCATCGTTAGGTAGGAGAAGCCCACAATTTATAGCCGCTAGAAACCACCATTTTTCAAGAAACCCTAATGGCTTCTACCCATTTTGGCTAAGCTTTTTCCTCATTTCTCCTCTTCTTCTTTGACTTCCCTATCTTGGCAAAAATTGCCTCTGTCTATTTGCATGAATTCAGGAAATTTGGGAGCTCAATACCCCCTTTCCCGCAGCTATTCAGTGGGAACTTCCATTCTTGGCTACTATTTTTTCTTCTTTCCTTCCCCCTTCTTTGGCTAAATCTGATGAAGGAAAGGAAGTGAAAATATATGCTGGTCCAAAGGGTGCTTCTGATAGCCTGCAGGCTAGTATTCCTTGGTTCTTTGAGCGTCTCTGGCTTGGAACTTGCTCCCTGCATGTGATGGAACCTCCCAGCAGCTTTGCTCAATGAATCTGCCAACCTTCCTCACGTGGCTTCTATTTTTTCAAAAGGGCTGAGGCTTTTGTGGGTTATTTTTTGGAGTTTTATATGGGCCAAGGTGGTTCCCTAAGCAAATGGGCTTTTTGTTAAACATTGGTCTTTTTGTTTGTATTAATAGGCTAATTTGCTTGGGCTATTGGGCTATTTTCTCTCTTAAGCTTACCATATGTTTGGGCCTAAGAAATGGGCTTGAGTCTCAAGGCTCCCAAGCAACCCGAGACTTTCCATTTCCCGGCACATTAATGGGTCTCATGTTGATTTATTACCGTCCATACCACAACCCACTCAAGCAAGCCCCGGTGTTTGAGTGGCTTGGGCCCACTTAGGCTTGTAGCGTGGTTGGGTGTAAGATAACGATTTCGTGCTTGGCATGGCA